GGGGGGGGGGGGAGGGAGGGCGGCGGCGCGTTTTTTGTTTTATAGACTAGACGCTATGGCAATCAATTCAGTAGAACAAAAATCTTTTTTTTTTTTTTTTCTGTGCACCTCTTCCCCCACCCCCTTCCCCTTCCTACCAAACACTTCTGACCAGGACCAACTTGAAGTTGGTCCTGCTTCCGACAACCCCTGGCTCCATTGTTCAAAAGTTGCGATGTTATTTGAATCCCTAGGGAATTGTGATTGGTCAACAGATTGCACTCGACCACATGGGCAGTGTTTCAAAGATGTTCAATTTCGCCGTCTTGCACTATTGCCTTCCAAAACCTTTCTTCTTCACAGCGTTGCTCGATTTGTGCTGCCATGTGATCCATTAGAGTAGATTTGGTACACAGCCATGGTTAATGGTGCTTAAGAGCAACCGTCCAGATCCCCCCTCCTTTATTGATAGAAACATAGGCGTGCGCAGGATTCTTCATTAGGGGGGGCGAGGTTTCCCCAGAGAGGCCCCCCCCCCCCCCCCTTTCCTATCAACGCACTCCCACTGATGTCCTTCCGCACATATTGTAGTGCTGAGACGAGACGAGATATGAAACGTTTATTTCAACAATATTGAATTGTAACATATACAAAATATTATTAAGCAGTTGGTTTCACTTTCTTGTGAAACGTCCGCAAAGAGAGGCAGTCCCTGCGCAGCTGAGGAGTCAGTGACACAACGCGCGTACAAAGCATTTTTATTCTTTCTATACCAGGGAAAGATACGACACATATGCCATCTTTAACAGCGCATATTTAAAAATATTGCCTAAACGTGACTCTGCTAGTAGGGAAACTATAGTGTACATACAGGGCAAACGCATGGGTGCACCTAATCATGGCGAAAGCTGTCATATGGCGTTTGCAACGTTCATGCAGAGGACGAAAAACGCCACCCAATACACAACGTAATGGCAACGTTTAAAAGCACGAGAATATACCGCAAATTAAAAATACGAGAAACAGCAAGTTATAATATTTAGTAATTATTGAAGATAAACGCTATGACATGCCATTTTTTTTCTTCTGAGCATCCAAATGTACAGTTGATAATCTTACTTTCTGGCGCTTCATAGAAACGTGTAATAGAAACAAGCGTTATAATTACTTTTTTTGCACAAGATAACACGCACGCATTATGTCAAACATTATACAAACTAACGGATATGTTATGTGGTGGTAAAAATATTTTATGAGTAGATTACTAAAAATGTGTAGCACGTGGGAGATATAGTACTTTTCACCAATCGTGAAAAGTCTAAAGCAAAATTCTACGCGATTTTGTCGCGAACTGTTCGATGACTGACTCAGAACTTGTTGACAATGCAATCTGTTGCTCAACGAACGGTAAAAGCAGCCACTGAAGCCGGTCATGACTCATAGTTGATCTCAGCTTTGTTTTCACAATGGCGAGCTTTGAAAACGTCCGCTCGCATGAGCAGCTAGTGACAGGGACAACTGCAAAGCCTTTAAGGATTTTAAGAAAGTCCTTATAAGCTAACGCTCCTAGGCCGTTTTGTTGCGACCAGTCTAGCCATTCATTACAGTCACCGAGCTTTATGTGCTCTGTGCTAACCTGTGCCTTCAGTAAGCGGAGCTCAGCCCGCAAGCTGTCAGACTCTACGTCAAAATACTTAGTGACAACGCCTATCTCCTCGTCATTGGCAGTGAGGCGCAGAATGTTCATTATCGCACATATGAGAACGACGGTCTCCTGCATGAATCTTGCCTTAATTCCTTCGACGAAAGCATCAAGCATGGGGTAAAAAACGCTGACGCGGAGTCCTTCCTCCTTTGTTTCCTGAAAAAAACGGACTGGCGAAGTTCACGTCTGCGCGTCTAGACACTTTTTTCTGTCTCACAGCAGGAATACTGATCCCGCGAGTCTGGCATATCTCTGTGGCACCTTGAAACTCCTTTGTAAATGCACTCTCGTCCAGCCTCATTTCCATGAGAGCTTCTTGGAGATTTTTCTCTCCCTGAAGTGCAAATCACTCCAGGGAGTGAAAATCACTCCAGGGCGTCACGTGATGATTTTCTTTCGCGATCATTCGATACTTGTCTAGAAACCCCACGCGGCGGCCGCTTCCAGGGGCGAGGAGGGTTTTTCGCCGACGGCTGGCCATAGACGGGTTGGCGCCTGGCGCTGCGTCGCGGCGTCTTTTTATGGTTGTTTTTTTCGTTGCGCGCACTAGAGGGAGGGAGCTTTGGCGTCGGTGTTTTATGCCGTCGAAAAAGAAACCATACCGCCGGCGCAGTCGCGCCTCGAGTCGGGCCAACTTTGCGCCCCCTCTCCCCCCTAGGTGATTAGAGGGGGCGGCCGCCTCCCCTGCCTGACCCCCCCCCCCCCCCCCCCCCGGCGCACGCCTGATAGAAGCTCGCCGGATCAGCTGGACGACCCAGAACTTCGTGGCCGATATATGGTGCGTCATATATACATATATATGACGCACCTTCAAAACTTTGCCGCGGCGTCGATTCTTGATCGATACCCAAGCGTGCGAAGGCACAAAGACTCAGCACTTCGGAGTGCCAAGGAAGCTTGGATCACGCCGCGAGGCCGGCGAAACTTGTTTTCGACGAGTTGTGACTCTGTCCTGTGGCACTGCGTTTTCGTAAAAATTTCCACGTGTTTTCAAAGGCAGGTCTCGCCGTTTTCACAAAGGTTTAAGAAACTTCTTTAGCGAATGACGACGAACGAGTAGAAAACGTGTCTTCAGAACGCTACCGCCAACCTCTGCGACGCTCGCAACAACGCGATTTCGTAGCATGCAAAACGGTCGTCTGGTGGCCGCACACGCGAAGCGGAGTGTGGATTTCCCCCATGGATTTCCCCATCACTTCATCAACGGCAGCCTTAAAGGGGTCATGAAACGATTTTCCTACATCTTCCTCCTTAGCTTTAATCCTCAATTCAAATGCGAATTGTGAAATCACGTGGTCGTGACATTCCTTCGGCACCGGCGCGATGACTCCTAGCTTCCACCGTGCTTTTTATGCATACCATAGAACTTGTCATTCGCCAGTGGCGATAAGTTCCGTCAGGGCACTCATTGGCCACGAACGCGAATCCAAATATTCGTCGACGCATTGATTGTTGACGAGCGCATACGTCCGAATGACGCAGTTCTCGTGTCCAATGCGTGAGCTGGGCTCTGCTGACGTCAGTTTGGCGCCGGTGACGCGCTTTTGGAACCGCGGATGTATCATAGTGAAAAAGCGGAGAGCTTTCGAAGGCAAGAAGGTACAAAATAGTCCGCTATATTTTCAAATGTTCGTACCGAAGAGCTGGCTTTTGACTTTCTAGCCTCTTTCTTGTGGCCAACTAAACGATATGCGATTAGTAAAGTCCCAATTTAAAATCATTCATCCCAAACCAAAATTCGTTTCATCGGCCCTTTAAGGCCTGTTCACACATACAGCGGAGCACTAAGTTAGCGCTACGTGAGCGCTCTAAGGAGCGCTAATGTGGCGCTTCCTAGCGCGTGACTTAGTTCTAACACAGCGCGCGATTAGCGCTTCTGTAGCGCCGTGTTAGCTCTCCAGTAGCGCTTTGTTAGCGCTCCAGTAGCGCCGTGTTAGCGCTTCAGTAGCGCTTCTTGTCCCGCAGTGCTGCGGATTAGCGCGTGCCCTGCGGTACCGGTTCCTGTGGGTGGGTGTGCATCAGCAGCACCATGGCGGACATGTGGGATGCTGAAATAGAAATGCGACAAATACTCTTAGATAGGCGATTAGTGCATATGTGTGTGGACGGCTTAAAGCACAGAAGAGCCTTCTGGGTGCGCGAAATCTTTCGCCATCGAGATGCCAACGGGTACCCGGCGAACCTTGTTCCCAGGCTGAGGGACCGAGACACAGAGCTCTTTCGAAGGTGATTATTTTTAACTGTGTGTCTTTGAAACCAGCGTCACGCATATCGAATAGAAAGCGATGAGGTCGTACCCAACCAAATAGTCGCTCAGAGTCTGGATCGCCCGCCCGACCCTTTGCTTGGAGAGCGGCTGTTTTCAATGCCGAAAGAAAAACAACAAATGAATCGCCGCGCTCGCGCCGTTCCGCACCAGCAAGCACGGCACAAGGAGCGTGAGAGCGCTAACAAAGCGCTTCTGTAGCGCTAACAGAGCGCTAACAAAGCGCTTCTGAAGCGCTAACAGAGCGCTACATCACGCGCTATGAAGCGCCACATGAGCGCTCCTTCGAGCGCTCACGTAGCGCTAACTTAGCGCTCCGCTGTATGCGTGAACCGGCCTTTAGTCTGTGTTCCAAATCTTACCCAAACGCTAATGGATCAGAGTTACTCCGGCGGCTCGTGTCACGTGCCAACACAGATTGAAGAACGCTGGACGTGGGTAAGTTTTGGAACGGCAAGGTACAAAACCCTTACCCTGGAGTAAGATCGAGCAAATTTTGGAACACGGCCTTACAAACGTATTCTTTTTTTCTTAATCTTTACACTTTCATTTCACAACAAAGCGAAGTAAGCAAGACGTGTTCAGCAAACGAAATGGCCAGATATATGCGAGGACGAAGAATTATCGGCTAACCGTGTTTTCCGACCAATCCACCAGGGAAAAACTTTTTTTTTCTCTTTTTTCTTTTTTGTTCTCGGCGACAAAATTTGAACGTTTGAAAACAACAATGTGATCTCACGAGCTGATCGTACGTGTTCGAACACGTCTCGTCATCGACAGTGCGCGTGTTGGGTCTTGGCCGCCGTTCTCCTCGTGCTGTCGTTCGATGTGCTTGTCTCGGGTAAGAAATCGACAGCGACTCGCGCAACCTCTTCGACACAGGCGCACAGGACACGCACTGCTCAGATAGCTGGCGAACCGTGAACAAAGTGATCTTCGATCTCCTACACGCAGGGTCCGCATCGTCGGTGCTGGAACGAACGAAGCCAACTGGCAGGTGGACAGCAAGGGCCAACAGTCGGAAGTTTACTTTCTCGGCGAAACGCCGCGATGGACCAGCTATCATCCCACCTCGGCTCCCGGTGAGTTGCAGGGGAGATTGGACGCGTTTGTGTGCAGTTGAACGTGACATCAGTGGATAAATGTGACTGTACCATTGCCCTTCAGGCTCGGCAGCCTCGCCGAGAAGCTCCGAGGCAGCACGAAAGCGAAATACGGCGACAAACCAGGTTGGAACCCCAAGAGGGACGAGTCTCCGCCGCTCGTCGCCATGGACTTCACCGGTAGCAGGGGACGGATCATCGACAATCCCCGGGAGGCCAGAGCCGTGGCCGCAGCTGAGTTTCGCGGCTGGAAGAGGAAACTTCCGCGGTCCACGTCGGCGTGCGGGCCATACTCGAGTGCCGTGGCGGGCGCCCCTCAACACGCGCAGCCCTGGTTCCACGGCTCGCTGCAGCGGGAGACTGCGACGCTTTTGCTGCTAAAGCACGCCACAGAAGACGGCGCCTTCCTGGTGCGTCGGAGCCTGAGCAGACTGGACACCTTCGTGCTCAGCTACCTGTTCCACGGCGAGGTGCGTCACGTCCAGATCGAGACGCTGGGCGAGGACTGCTTCTCCATCGACTCCGGTCGGACCAAGTTCTCCTGCCTGCAGCAACTCGTGCAGTTCTACCAGCTGAACCAAGGAAACTTGCTCACTAGGCTCGGCCAGTGCCTCAAGAGCGAAAAACCCAAAGAGTTTGTCTAGTCACTGCGAACCCTTCTGGACTGCAACTTTGGCGGTGCCAGTGTGGTGGCCCTGGGCCACCACGCCACCACTGCCCAATACCACAATGAGCCTTGTGGCTATGTATGGCGGTAGCTGCTACGGCACACTACACTTTGGTACCGACAATGCAGTTGCTTTGTGGCTCCATCGCTGCAATAAGGCTGGGTGCTAAAAGATGATGAAATAGGGCAACCCTCTCAGTCCCGCCATGCTTGCAGGTTCTAGTCATTAGTTTACTGGACGACGAGTATTCTTCAGCTACTCACATAGCGGTGTGCCTTCTACACTCACCCAGGTTATCTAGTCACTGACGCCTCACAAGGTTTTGAGTGCAGTAACACCTCGAGATTGAGCAGCCCTGCCGTAAATTGATGTTGGAGAAAAAAAAAAAATTTTTTTTTTTCACTTCAAAAACAGATTATGCATCACTGCACACTCAGTCGCTGCCTAAATACAGTGCTAGTGGTCTGGATTGGATGCAAAGGTTTCAGAGCTTGCAGTTATCTGGTTCAAAAGTGGAAAGCAATTTTAAGAAAGTTTCAATAAGAAAATGGCAGCCAACAAAGGCCAGGACTATCAGAAATGGGCACCATTTTTCCATAAAAACAATCCTGAAAATCGCTTACAACTTTTTAATCGGATAACGGCAAGCTCCGTAACTTTAGCGTCTGGTCTGGATGGCTAGTGTTATATTTTGGCAGAGACCGATGCAGAGTTTGTTTTTGTGGTAAAAAAATACAGTAAATGTTTTTTTCGGGGACAGCCAGTATTGTTTTTACACTGCGACACTGCCCCTTGTAACCCTGCTATCCTTTAAACAGATCTCCGAAGGAATTGCACTTCAAGGAAGAGAGAAGCGTGTGGGCCACTGTTGCAATCTTGTCACCAGTTAAATTATTTTAATGTCCGAAAACAAATCCCAGTGTTCTTTGTGGTTATGTGATGGAGTGAGGCTGTTAAGTTGTTCTATCGATTTTCTAAATAAATGCTATTTTGCTTATTTAGCCTGTGTTTAAAAACAGTTGTCTTGTCTGAAATCTAGCACTTTTTCTGGTTATTGTTAAAAAATACTTTTTACAGGGACATCACATCACTTCTACAGTGATGCTGTCTCCCAACACAAGAAATTAACTTGATTAAATGGTGACTTGAAGAGATCTAGAGAAAGTTTCTCTCCATCGTTGCACTGTTAAATAGGCCATGAAAAAATATTAGGTTTGAATGTTCTGCATGTTTCACAAGCACACTGATGCACAAGTGACAAGTACACTCGCATGCAATGTCGCTAAGCAGGAAGCTTCGTTGTAATTTCGAGGGTAGAAGCAAACTACTCTTTTTTGTCCCTCCTTCACTAAGCTTGCCGACATAGCTGTGGAGGTCACAATCTTGACATATTTGGGGGGATCATCACAATGTGATAGCGTTTGAATATGGCCGTCAATTGGACATGAACACTGCGCGAGCATTCGACTTGAGCTCAGTTAAAAGAGTCCCTTTCCGCAATTCAGTGCCATTTGGTGGCTCAAATGGCAGTTTAACCTTTACCATACTAATGGAAGCAATGAACCTGTAGTCTGTAGTATTTTATTAGGCACTGCACTTTCGCAAGTCAATGGCAAACGAGAATGTACTCTTCACTGTACAGTTCTCGATCTCTCTCAATGGCGATGGCCACAAAGATGCAACCAGTCGGAACGAAGTGCCAATCGGGCCGCACACACTCTTTGAGAAAGTTATATACATCAAGGGGCTTTGAAGCAGATTGTGTGCCACGAACAGATTGACCGGGCCCGAGTTAAAAATTAATGCTTGCGCAGCTCTTGCTTTCAATTCCTGCTTCACATCGTGCTAACGTCTCGAATGTATGTAGAGCGCAAGTTTGTCTGCTTCTTTTGCAGGGGTTGGGGTGACGTCAGAACACTGAGCTCAGAATGGCTCTAATTGAAGGATTGTGGGTAGACCTCAAAGCAAGCTGCCCTGAGGTCTACGCACTATCCTTCAATCGAAACCAATCGGAGCTTGGCATTCTGACGTCACCGCAACCCCTGAAAAACAAGCAGACGAACTTGCACTCCGAATAGGCCTCGAATCATCAGCTCATGAGCAACTTCTTCCTTCATCAGTAAACAGAAGGCCGCCATTAGTACGACACACATGCCATTTTTCAGATGATAGTGATCAATGTGGCCGGAGTGAATCTCGGAAAGGATCTATTAGAATTCCGTGTTTTCGGATAAATTCAATTAAATTGCGAAAAACCACTCGCAGGTAAAATATTTATCAATTCAGAGTTATCCGAAAATTCACAATTTCAATGTCACAATGGCAAAAAAACAAGAAAAACCATTGTATCCTACAAATAAGCTTGGTCAGAGCACAGGGTTAGTGGTCTTGAGAGGCCTCTTCAGTTTCTTTTTAAATCTCCGAATATTGACAAAAGGGGTTCACCGTTTATCTTGTCAAGTTTTGTGCAGGACAATGGGTCATTCTAATCTTGGATAAAAACAAAAGCCACTGCTCTGGTTTGCAGTTCTTGAAGGAAGGCAAGGTTGTGTTTCCATAACAAGGAAAGCTACGATCGTAGATGGAGGGGGGCAGCTAAAGGATATATCTCCCCATTAGTGGTGTAGCCAGGGGGGAAGCTTATAGAGCTTCAGCTCCCCCCCCCCCCCCCCCTCTGCACCCCAAGTCATGAACATCTCAGCCACCTCAGCTCCTCCCTTGAAAAATATTTCTGGCCATGCCACTGCTCCCCACTCCACCCTGTGCAGCTGCAGGGTGGAGTGGTGGAATGGTAGGGGAAGAAAACAAGCTTTCCAGAGACTGTGCCAAGGATTTAAGTGATTTTAAAGTATCCAAGTTTATTAAAGCAACATTTATTTGCAAGCTTTGTTGTGGGACAGTTAGTATTACCAATGGCAAAGGTGCAAACGCCCAATCCAGCTGAAGAAATACTCTTTGATAAAGGTGAGCTCTTATGAATTTAGGGCAGGTTCGTGTCCAGATAATTTTTGGTTTTATACTGAATTTTGACAAATTGTGCACGCATCAAAATTCAACTCCGTACTTCAGAGAATCGGGAATCTATACTAAATTAACTCCAACATACTCTGAATCCTTTTAGAAGAATAAGCTCCAAAAAGCACCCTCTGAATTTAACGAAAAATCAACTCCGAAAATACAGGACCCGTTATAATCAATGTTTTGGTGCACATTCAGTTTGGAGCTCGTCCCCAGCCAGTGCAGTGAAAGAAAAAACCAAACATTAACAATGCTCGGAGCCTTTTGGGATATAATCTGCACCAGATCATATGGTCACTTGTTCTGGCTGCGAGCAGAGGGAATGAACTAAGGATGAATGCTGCCTGCTTTTGTTCAATTGTTTTACGTCTTCTAGCGTGTGGAAAGAAAAAAACAAAAATATTTCACACTTCGTAGGTTATAAATGTCAAGGAATCATTCCAAGCAGTTTTTAAGCAAAACTAAGAAAAGTCCTTCATTGCCCCTGCTGCCAAGTGTCGATTTTCATGCAAAGCATTTTGCTTCAGAATGAGATATTATCGGCACATTTCCTAGGTACGGCAAGAATATTGCGAGCTAAAAGGATTTGCTTCTGACATGAAAAGTTTGCAGATACCTTTCCCCCATCCATTAGGTTGTTACAAGTAGATACCAGTAACAAAGGAGCCATTTTTGGTTTGCATATACAGTTTATTAAGCAGCTAACATAGCCAAAAAATATATTAATACAGAGTGTCGTCGAATCATTCATTGGTTCTCTCATTTAGCACAAAAGTACACTTTGACAACATCTGCCCAATGTTTTGCCCATGTTTCAAAAGAATTCAAGCTACAAAGTCAATTGGGCTGCTTGTAAGACACACAAGTGGTCACATACACCAAAAGTGCCTTCATCCATACTATAATGCCAAGCAAACTCTTGCAGATTTCTTTTATTTTGGTTTGCAGAGCTCGCAGCAGTGTGAAGCGCTGGCGCCGAAATACACACGGCGGCGCAATTAAGCGACATAGTCCAGGGGTCTGTTAAATCCTCCTTTCCGGTTCATGTATTGGCTGGAGAGAAAAGACTGAAGATCAGCAAAAGAGAGCAGGCTAAATTAAAGCAACCTCAAACCTTATCTTTAGTTTCACATGTATGCATTAGAGTTGAACCCAACAAGATTCCCGCAGTGCAGGGCTGCACAACCTGCGGCCTGCAGCAGTCCCACTGAAACATTTGGGGACTGCAGCAGTCCCACTGAAACATTTGGGGACCACAGAAACCGTTGGACCTAAGTTTGCTAGAAAGATGAAACTAGACTCAAGCAGGGAGAGATACACACTTCATAGCACAGCGTAGGATAGTTCACACACATATATACACACATCTATGTGAAGAAATGTTTGTGGTTTCCTTCACACACATGAAAACACTGGAGATGTGGTTTCACTGTCCCAGGAAGACTAAATAAGTTGGTGCTCGTCGTTATGATTCTATACATGACTGGATCGCCGATTGCTATGAAATGTACCTCGAGGAAATGCATAGCAAAAGAACAAACCAATATGCAAATTTCTATGGTCAGCGACTGAAATGAAATGTTCTCTCACTTTCTGTTCACCTTGATTAAAAAGAACAATCAATGGTTTGCTTCATTGAGGTGATAAAGTACATTACGGGGGTTGTCGGCTCGTTGAGAAATTTAGTTTTTCTTTAGTATCTTTTGGTTCAGGTAATGTCGTCTGCAGAAAGTTTCGTGCTTTGTCACCACTGCTAACATCACATCCTGGCGGAGTTACAGGTTTATGCAATACCTAGTTTATTTATGTGGGCCAAAACACCGGGTTTAATTTCCTCGATAACACCCCGTAGATAATTGGGGTTCAGTGGCGCCACAACAGAAAAAAGAGATGAAGGAAATGAAAACATCTTAAAAAAAAAAAAAAAAACTAAACCCAGGGCAAAATTTTTTTTTGTTTTGTTTTCCTAGGTTCAGTTTTAGGTTTCCAGGTTTGGGTCGAAAAACGGCAATATTTTGCAAAAAAAATGGGATTTTGGGTTTTATGGTGTTTTATTATATTTGAATCTTTACATTTTTTGTATAAAAATATTTACTGCCGGATATGATCGCGAAATCAGACAAATACCTTCAGGCAACCCAGAACAGCATGAATTTCAGCAATATTTCTCTACATGGTCCTTCAAGTTGTGACGTCGCCCGCCATCACATTTACATTGACAAGTAGGCCTAGCCGTCTCCTCTCCATTGTAGTCTTCTGTAGCTTCAATTTCTCATGGAAATTTATTAACAAAATATTATTTTCTGCACTGAGAAAGAGTATAGCTACACATCTATGGTAACATTCAAACCCGCTTTTCTTTTTATTAATTTTGGGGCTTCTTTGTAGTTTGTGCACAAGAATTTATGTTCTTAATAGGTGGTATTCACTGGTGGCCATAGCTGTATTTGCTGTTGCAGAGCGCAAGCTCACAGTGAGCTTCCACAACGCTTCCGGAATGTGTACTTCATACCACCAAGATTGTGAGTCTTCTAGGAAGATAAGTGGAGTATCGTTTTGAGCAAGCGCTGTGAACGCTGCGCTCAAGTATGGCGCCCAGTGAATACCACCTTTATTGTCCTATCACAACCGAATTTGGCATGAAAATACTTTAGAATGTGTAGAATGCAATTACCTAGTTTTGGTTAGAATGTATCTTATTTTGTATTTATGTAAAATTTAAGGAACATTTGTTAGCCAATTGAAATAGAATTTTTGCTATTTTTAATTATTTCAAATGAAAGAAGTGTTGCACATATTATTTTTGTTGTTCATTGCACTTAGTGGAGTAAAAGGAGCGAATTATTTCATTTTACTAGGCTTTTTTAAGTGTTGCCATGCCACACATGCGCACAAAAAAAATTTTTTTTTATGCATGTACATTGCATCAAGAACCTAAAAAAAAAAAACTATATAAACATAACATAACAACAGCGTAAAGACAACAACAGAAACACACAGGACACACACCCAACAGACACACAGCACTGACTTACAACTCAAATTGTATTTTTTGGTTCTTCTGTGCGAGGAACAATTGCAAAACTGCTTTGTATTCTCTGTCTTCGCGAGAGGCGCAACAATCTTCTCCGTATCTCACTGGCGTCTCATCTCTCTATGTGCCGAAAATTCTAGCTCTTTCTTTGATAATGTCAAGGATGGGGCACTGACACATGCATCTTTTTGCCGTGCAATCCTTTCTGCCTCAATGATCTCTCTAGTAAGTTTCTGGCTACTTCTATCTATAACAGAACACTGCGTAAAGTCAGCCTCACACCTGCAATCGTGACAGTGTAGACCAAAATGTCTGGATAAGATTTTGTGAGCATTATAGTACTGTTTTCTCAACCATATGTTCAAGCAACACCCAGTTTGCCCTATATATTGCTTGCCACATAAAAGAAGAATAAAATAAACTATATCGTCCAAGCAAGAAATAAACATTCTGAGTTTTTTTTTTTTTTTTTTTTTACAGCATACTTGTTGGCTGTTATTGATGTTAACTCTTTTGCTTAAACTGGACGGCTTGTTGGGGGCCGAAAAGACTACATTCAGGTTTTCTCGGTTTGCAATCTTTTCTGGCGTGCGGGAAATATTGTGAATATGGGGCATGATTACCACTCTTTTTTGTCTGTCCCTTTAAGGGGTATTCACACCAGGGAGAAATCCCGGGGATTTCTCCCCGGCACACGCGCATCAAGAGATGAAAACGTGAGGCTTTTGCACGTCGCAAAGCCTGACGTTTTCGTCGTGGGATGCGCGTGCCAAAGAGAAATCCCCGGGATTTCTCCCTCGTGTGAATACACCTTAAAGGGCCCCTGTAAAGAAATAAAAATGTTTTTCTTAACAGTCTGGTAGGGACAGACGTGTGAAGAAATTAATTTTATGCAAAAAAAAAAGTAAAAAAAAAAAAAAAAAAAAATATTGAAGGCGCGAGATTTATTTTAAACTCTGCGTGCACAGTCCATGATGTCACGGAATGGTAATTCGCTCTCTCCATCTCAATGTATTGGCCAAGCCGATCCACCTGTCCTCCACGTGCTCGAAATGCCGAGAGAGAAAACAAGTGGAAAGGTGGTGACTACCGACTAAATTGCGTCTCGCGCTGTCAATATTGCTCGAAAAAAAAAATTTTTTTTTTTAGTAAAATTAGTTTTTTGACACGCACACGTGTTCCATCCAGACTGTTAAAAATTTTTTTTTTTTTCTTTTCGGAGGCTCTTTAACGGTATGTCAGTGTCACTGCCTCGCTTTATATTTTTCCGAGTGTTCTCAGCCACAGAAGTTAATAGGGATAAGAGGTAGCCTGCTGAAATCCGCCTGGAAATCTGACCTTCGAAACTGCATGTAATCAAATGTGGGCAGGATTTCGTCAAGGCATTTTTACTTTAACACAATTTGAAATATACCCGTCGTGTTCAATAATAAGCTGAATATGATCCACAATATCCGTAAATGACAATCGCACGTTTGTGTTTTGAGCCTAATGGCTGTATTTTTCGTTATAAACGGCCCATTCTGGCAAACGCTCGGAGAGCAGCCAGCGGAAAGCATGTGACATTTGGCGCAATCGTGACATAGATTGTCTGGGGACGAGCAAAGCTGCGGCAAGGCTGACGTCAACAGGATGTCCTAGCTGTTCCAACCACCGCTGCCGCCGAAGCACGCCAGCGATCAGGCCACTGCAACTAACTCCAAAGCTGCTTTTGTACGAATTTTGAGTGACAGGTTAACCTTCTATAATCTTGTAGAGGGACGATAGCGATGTCTGGGACACACGAAAGAAAGTCGCTGTGAAAGGGAAGTTCCTCCTTCCCCTCTTCTCTCGTGGTGGCCAGAGGCGAGACAGGTATTGTCACTACCTGTCAAGGTTCGTAAACAGGCATCACAAACGAGGCGTGATGTGATACTGCTCCCTTGAACATGAATAGACCAACAAATAAGAGCCGAAATTTCGTTGTAGTATCCCTTTAAGGGATACTACAACGCCTCGTTTGTATGCTCCTCTTCTATGCCATGCTCTATGCTCCTCTTAACTAATTTTGAGTGTGCCAGCTAGAAATGCGGGAGTGGCTTCTTTCCCCTCGGTTCATAAGCCCAACAGACATGATCTTTTAATAAAAGAAGTCGGAGGTCTAAGAATCACAAGGATTTTTTGGAGGAAAGCTCATGAGTGATTTCTATATCTATATCAAATATATATCTATACAAGCTATATCAAATATAACACCAGATCTATAAAAAGAAGATTAAGCACCATAAACTAAAAATTTAATTTCAATATTGTAAATAATAATACATTTTTTTCCCTGGCGCATGTTCCCTTGAGGGCAGACATACAACCTCGGTTTTCTGCAGGGAAGATAACCGTCCTTAGTACTCCCCTCTCCTGAGCTCCAAGGAGAACCAAGTTTGGGGCAAAGTAAAAAGTGGAGAGGACACAGGGAAGGAGGAGGCGAGCAGAAGTGGAAAGCACAAAGTGTATGTCGGCCTTTAAGAGGACATGCACCAGGGGAAACTTTTTTTTATTATTATTTACGATATTGATATGAAATTTTTATAGTTTATAGTGCTTAATCTTCTCTTTATAAATCCGGTGTTAGATTTGATATAGCTTGTTTTTGAAATTCTCGATACAATGTGCATGCAGAAAAAATTGTGTTCTTATGCATACATGAGGCATGGCACTTAAAAAAGCCTAGCAAAATAAACTAATTTGCTCCTTTTAAGCAACTGAGTGCAATGAACAACAGAAATAATAGCTGACAAACATTTCTTAAATTTCTAATAAATATAAAAAAAATATACATCCTAACCAAACCTAAACAGTTGCATTCAAAATATTCCACAGTATATGCATGCCAAATTTGGTTGTGATAGGACAATATTAAGAAAAGAAATTCTCTGTACACAAACTGTGAAGGTGCCCCAAAATTGCATAAAAAGAAAAACGCGTTCAAATGTTACCGTATATGTGTAGCTATACTGTTTTGGGGTGAGAAAAATAATACTCTGTTAATAAATTTCTGTGAGAAAGTGAAGCTACAGAAGACTGCAATGAAGTGGAGATGGCTAGGCCTACTTGTCAAAGTCAATGTGATGGTGAGCGACGTCAAAACTTGAAAAACCATGCAAAGAAAAATGGCTCAAATTCACAATGTTTCACAATGTACTTACTATTCCAAACTTCCAGGGAAATAAGTCCCCTCTAGTGGGCTGAAACGCCAAGTGCCATACCCCATGAAATGAAAACGCCTTTGCACTGAGTGGTTGACTAATATAATCCTCTGCCTTCCTTACACGGCAAGCAGGAGGTTAAGACATCACAAGAGCCAGCCGTGTCTCGCTGCAGAAAGGGAATATCTAATGCTCCCGAATCCTCTGGAGTCCGGATGATTCAACAAAAAATGAGAAGTCTTGTTTGTAGTGTTCTTCAGTAGATACAGAATTCCAGAATGCGTTAAGAAAACAGAGAGAAACCCTAATGACAGTATTGTTAACAGAAAGTTACAGCATTTCCCATTAGGTAAAGGTTAGGTACTTGTTAGGTAAATAGCAATTGTTTTGGCCCCTGCCAATGATGAGTTGTGAAGCTCTGCGGCAGTTTGGCAAAATGAAAGCTCCACTTCAAGCATTCTATGGAGCGCTTCAAGTTTCGAGTTTCATATTCTCAGAGGCCGCACATAGTAATGCAAGAAAATGTTTCCAGATCTAGCTTGTTCAGCTTATGACTCTTTCCATACTGCAATGAAAAGTGTTAATTTTTAAGGAATGAATAAAACTTTTTTTTTTTTTTTAAACCCAATCAGCATATGGCTGATTTGGTTTCGTAGCCAATAAGATGCTCTTTAGGAGAAAAAGATTGGAATAATGCATGGAAAACGTTTTCCAACATCATAATTATTGAACTTTGAATTTATGCAAGAAAGAGAACAAAACATTGAAATATTTGTGGCTATATCAAATCATATTACAAATTTTAAAAAATTGTAAATATACAAAATGCGTCCCACACCCTCCACTGTGACAGTGGAGGGTGTGGGACGCATTTTGTATATTTACAATTTTTTCCCGTAACTTAGAGTGCTCTATCTGATACTGTCTTTTTTTTTTTTTTGGCCAGTTGGCAAGCTTCTGTGGTGCCAGTGCCATTCAGAGAATCTGTTGCATGTGATGGTGGATGTCCTCCAGAACTTTTAACAAGAACCTATTTTGTTTTACCGCCGCTCTAACTTCTCTTCTACAGAAAATTTTATAGCTTGCGGCACATATAAAATGTGCACCGCGGTTCAGGACAGCCTGGAAAGCTAGAACGGCGCTTTGCGATGAGCGCATGTCAATATTTATTTATTTATTTATTTATTTATTTCAATACCCTCAGAGCCCGGGGGCATTACAGAGGGGGTGGACATAAAATATTGGCACTGCATAAAATTCAAACAAGGCAACTTGGTTAAAAATGTTAGTACGACATAATCCTAGCAAAAGTGAGTAGTTAGAGCTTTTCTAAATAAATCTATTGATGGAATAGTTACTAATGATGCGGGAAGGTGGTTCCATTCAGATGACGTTTTAGGGATGAAAGAGTTGATGTAAGCAGAAGTTTCGCAATGAGGTATGCCAACTTTAAGTTTGTGATCAATGCGGGGAGAAATGAAGGGGGGGCTAATGAATAGTTAGTTTTTCAGTAAAGCGTTGGAATGATAGATTTTATGGAAGAGGCATAGACGAGATATTTTACGACGAGACGAAAGAAGAGGCAAGGCTAGGGTTGTTTTCATAGATGAGACACTTGTGGTGTGATGATAGTTGCAGACTATGAATCGTGCGGCGCGATTTTGCAGGGCTTCGATGTTTGTTATAAAAGTTGAGTGACCTGGATCCCAGATTGCTGCGGCATATTCCAACTTCGAACGTATTAAAGTCTTATACAAGAGAAGTTTTAGGGACATAGGGGTTAAGGAAAAGTTTCTTTTTAAATACCCTAGCATTGAATTCAATTATATGATCAGATTGAGTTTTCCATGATAGGTTAGAAGTGACGTGAACACCGAGATACTTGAAAGAGGTTACAGATGCCAGCTGAATATTACATATTGAGTATGGTGATGGTGATGCGTTACGACGAGACACACTCATAGTTTTACATTTGTTAGTATTCAGTCATTTGCCATAAGTTGCACCATTCCGATACCGCGCATAAATCTGCTTGAAGAAGTGCCGCGTCGGATTCGTTAGTAATTTCACGATATATTACACAATCATCTGCGAATAAGCTAATACTGGATGATACACACACTGGTAAGTCATTAATATAAATAAGAAACAGAAGGGGTCCCAAAACGGACCCCTGGGGAACACCAGAGGTGACGGCACTGAGGCAAGAATTTTCCTCATTGGTAGTAACAAACTGTGATCGATTAGTTAGGAAACATTTAATCCAGGACAAGACTTTAGGATCAATATTAAGTTTGTCAAGCTTAAGAAACAGTAGTTGGTGAGATACTTTATCAAAGGCTTTACAAAAGTCGAGAAAGACGCAGTCAACCTGAGATCCACGGTCAAGGATGGAAAAGAGATCATTAGTGAAAGTTAGAAGTTGTGTTTCGCATGACAGGGATTTCCGGAAATAATGTTGCGAGGGGATTGCGGGCCTCGGAGATAAAACGCTGCTATTTGAGCCCGAATTAGATGATCCAACATCATCCCCTCACTGCTGCTATCATTAAAAAACAAAAAGCAGCAAACGCAGTTGATCTGAGTAATTAAAGTTGTCTTTATAGCAGTCCCTGGTGCCAGCAGGACGCCATGTTTGGCAAGTGCCACCACCATGCAGAGATTTATTTCTGATAGCTCAACCGCCTGTGAGAAAGCGCAAAACAGAATCGAAACCGAAACTGGTTCTTCAAGCTATTTACTAGATGGTGCAATGTGTTCCCGAAATTTGAATATCGGCGGCGCACGGAAACCACAGATCACGGGTGATCCACGGCCTAAGGACGTGGCACAGAAAGAGTTAAACCAACAGGATCTGGAAGCTAAGAACAGATGTAATTAACTCAAACGTTTTTAACGCACAATGCGACCCTATAATATTAAAAGGGTAAATGCGAGAGCTAGTCTTGCAGCCCACTGTACAGAGTTGCTGACTGGTTGCATAAATATGTAACAGCAATCCCAACACATGTCCCGATTGCTGGTTTGAGATGATCGACTAGCCCCCAAACACGCCATGTTTGCTTGTCTTGCCAAGCCCACCTCGTCCGGTTTACGCCCAAAGCAACGGAAACGCAACTCACCGGTACTTTCGCTTGTGGATGACGTGCACTGCATAAACATTGTTGCCTGGTATGTGCTTTCCCTGTAATCGAAGACATAGGTACGCATGCTCAGAGAAAACCTGACACAGGAAAGATAAACCCAAAGCCCGAAGTATAGTGTGCAACACAATTAGCTCGAATGTGCAATTGCTGGTTCCTTGCACCTCAATAGTATTTCATTCTTAAAACTTCTTAGCTTCAACTTAAAACTAACAAAACAAATTTGTGTGTTTCGATTTTTTTTTTCTTTCAAAACTGTTTAATATTGTAATCTGCAGCACATTCTTCGGAAAAATACTACTGTCGAGACCGGTTATAAAGAAGTCGGTTATAAAGAAATAGCGGCTACAGCGAAGCGATCCCAATTTCCCATTCCCGTTTGCACTTTTTCAATGCATTTGTGTCTGGTTTTAGCCAAGGAAATTGAGCGGCTCCCGCGGATATAGCGAAAAGAAATTTTGTGATAATTTAAAAAACCAATGAAATTCGGAAAGTTTACTAAGTCTCAGAGCGCCGCACTTTGCAGCTGTGGCCAAGAAGCCACCCAGAACAGGCTGCAGAAGATGCTGGAAAGGCCGCTGGCGGGCAGTCTGCAACGTCGTCTGCTCCCCGCTCCTTACCTGGGAAGCGGCTTTACCGCATCGCACGCGAAGAAGCCATCGTGGCATGCCGATAGGGGCGTTAGGAGCACTAGTGACAACGTACTGGTGAAGATGACGGAGAGAGCCTAGATTTAAGAGAGGGAGCCTGCATTTGATTGTCACGTGGCCAGTGTGGCGATAAAACTGGGCGGCGAGGCGGACATGTTTGCAGAAGGTGAACGCTTCCGAGTTTTGACTCCTTGCATGCTACAGCTCATTTTGTAAACGCGGCCCACAAACCACGTGACCCCGATCGAGCTGTTACCCCATCTCTTAAATCTAGGCTCTCTATACCGATGACAGACAAGCTTGAGCGCGAACTCGGTGCCATTCGCGCTTCTTTGTTTGCTTCGTGATCCATGTTGGCGTCTGGTCGGTGAGGTCGCTCTTGCGCCGAAAGTCTACTTCGCCCAAGTACCAATTTGGCGAATCATCACCACTCAACGATAAAGAGTCCCGGCACCGCCGGCACCTTGACAGGGAAGACGAAGGCAATCTCCTTGAATCAAAAGCGTGCCATCCTCAACGGAGAGCTCATAAACGCAAAGAATGCTGTCCACTGCCGGCGTCCTCCGTGGGGCTGTCGCAGCCGTCGACACGGTCTGTACGTAGCAGGATTTTTTTTTGATTGGAGCTTCTCGCAGTTGGCAAGAAGCGGCGGTGTTGATCTAGCAGCGTACACGTGCAGGGAAGCCTCAACCACTTTCTGCAGGCTCGATAGACATGTACCCGTGACAGCCCGTGTTGTCTTTTTTGACATGTTATTTGTATAAATTCATATATAGACCTTTTTCGCAAGGGCGCCGCCATCTTGAATTGACGTCACTTCCAGTATGGGCGAAAACATTGTTTTGCCGTCACCACGCCAGTAGAAGGCATTTAGGACATAAACGTAGCCGTCACGCATTCTCGTTTTGCCTCCCCTTCATTTTTTTACTATTTGCAGGTTGAACGTTTTGATATTTTTTCGTCGCCCATACCGGATATGCCTACTTGGCGGTCGGCGGCGAGAGTAAGCGGAAAAGGTCTATAGGATTCCGTGTTTTCGGAGTTTATTTTTCATCAAATTCAGAGGGTGTTTTTGAGAGTTTCTTTTTTTCCAAAATTCGGAGTTTATAAAAGTTTATTTTCGTTTGGTTTCAAACAATTCAAATTTCGGAGTTTAATTTTGCAGTGTTTTCTATGAAAAATAAATAAATAATATCCGTGTGCAGACGTATGCTACAGAAAAAAAAATGCTTATATCAATTAATATTTCTTCATTTGGATTTGTCGTTGGTGCCACAGCCATTGGCAATACTAATTTGTCCCCTGGCAAATGTTGCACACATGTGTGGCTTCAATAAACACAAACTCCTGGAGGTGGTCGCTGGGAAGTTCGTATTCATCCCATCCTATTCCAAGCTACCCCGCGACCGTGCGAGGTGGAGTGGCACAGGATGTAATAGGGAAGTTTCAACTGACCCTCCTATAATTTTCTGCTATCTGTATGGTCCATAGCTTTAACTTAAAAAACACAACCTCTCCTTCCTCTTAAAACACAAGTAGTATGGCCCAAACTGAAAACCAATAAAGAGGTATTTGTCATGACCCAAAAGCACAATGACATGTCCTGAACCTTGACGAGGTAAGTGGTAAGACCCCTTTTATCAATGATCCGAGATTTGAAAGATAACTGTGGTGGCATTTTTACGGAACCATTGACCCTGTGTGCTGATCAAACTTAATTGTAAAATACCGCCTTTATTTAGTTTATTTGGGGGGGGAGGGATTGTTACATCAAAATTTGGAGTTTATTGGATAAATCTGAATTGACCAAAATTTTACCAGCGAGTGTTTTTCAGAGTTTTGGGATTTATTCGAAAACACGGAATTTTTCTTTCAGGGGCCCTTTAAGGTGAAAACGAGTGTAGTTCTATTCCTTGGTTCTTATTCTCATACACAGAGAAGTGGTTCAAGGTCTGCAACTTTGTTGGCTTCAAACAGAGCATCCTTCTAAAGGACAGGCCATTTTAGTGGTAACCCAGATAACTGTGGGGATTAGCTGGCCAACCACTGAAGGGATTACCACCATTAAGACCTTTTGACCCTGCCCCTGGAAACTGAGAAAGATTTTTTTAGTTCTATGCACATTGCAATGGAAATGTTTACAGGACAATAAATGTATGTGGTATATTTACGAGATACATGACAATGAAACAGGGACTGAGCCCTCAATTCCTGTTTGCGTTGTGCTTAGAGTAAGGCCAGCCAAACTGAGGCCTCCAGACTGCATGCGGCCCTTGAAGAGATGCCTGCAACGGGCGACTGCTCCTTTCAAATTCAGTCGCCCATGGCTTGCAACATTTTTATTTAGTGTGCATGCCGCAATCTGCAATTTTGATCATGACAATATGTTGAGAATTTCGAAATTAGCGGAGCGGAGTGCCCCAGAGATACCAATGAGAAATTAAGGACAAAATATCCGTCTGTGTCCCCTGTACACTAATAATAGCAGTTCCTCTGTTACACAGAATATTTGACAGCTCAAAACTATGTGCAAGCGTAACAGCACGTTTCTGGAAGAATGCTCCTTTGGCAGTTCCTGTTTTGCAGATGTTTGCCAAGCCAAAGAATGCTCTGGATCACATCAGCATCCATGACCATCATGATCTCACTTAAGTAAAACAAGCCTACCAGTCAACTATTTTTTTCTGATTCACCACATTTCAAATAATATCATGCCTTTCCAGGTCGCCACGCGTAAAGACTAACAATCTTTGCTCGTGCAGCCCTTTGAAGCTTCAACTACCAAAGCTTGACCATCAATGGCTTAGGGCCTGGGCGGGGATAATCAAGTTATCAGATCACCTATCAGTCAGACGCTGGCACCTGAAGAACAAGTCAAGTATTGGCCATGAAGACTAGCTTGATTAATCTTCATCATTCATCACAGTTCATCATTTATGCTGATGATACCAGCCTTTTTTTTTCTGCGGATAGTGCCGACGAATTAATGTGTCGCGCAAATTCTGTTCTTCAGAACTTCTTTTTATGGTCGGAGGCTAACGCACTCAGGATTAATGCGAAGAAATGCAAAGCAATTATTTTTAGATCCGTAAATAAGTCTATCTTAAGCCCAATTCTACTTGGCAATGCGCAAATAAAAATCAATAACCAGCACAAAATATTAGGTGTACACTTTTTGGAACATGTGACCTGGGACGCTCATGTAAACATTTTGATTTCTAAACTGTCTCGTATTGTCGGTGTATTTGCTCGTTGTCGTGTTATTTTGCCACTTCATGTTAAGTTAAAAATATTTCACGCATTATTTCAGTCCCATTTGAATTACTGTCATCTCATCTGGGCTACTACAACTAAAACAAATATAAATAAATTATTTTTGCTCCAGAAAAAGGTCTTACGACACCTTGCGGAAGTACATTATTTTGATCACACTGAACCTCTGTTTACTAAGTATAATATCCTTCCTATTAAGCATTTGTATGAATACCGCCTGATGTGTTCCATTCGTTTTGCACCGGCATCAGTTATTGAATTCTTATATCGTATTTCGCAATTAACTGAAAGCCTCAGCATCGTCAGCACACGTCGTACAGAGTTTTGGGCTATCCCTCGGTCACATACAAACTACGGTATAATCTGCAATCCCTGCGCCATATTCTTCCATCTTTGTTAAATACATGCCTCACCAAGAACATAGATATATATTCGGCTAGCAAGAAAGACATCTTGTCGTATTTTATTTAGTTGGTTTTTGTTGTATTTTAAATTTTTTAAATGAATTGTAGTATTTATTTTCATGTATCTATATGTGTGCGTACTGTGTAATCATTTTTTTTTCTCTATTGAATGCTGCTGCCTGTAAACGGGGGAGCCTGAGCCCAGTCAAGCTGTTCTTGAACAGCTTTTTGCCTAGGCTCCCCTCCAGAATTTTCGGAGAATAAAAAAGATGTGATTGATTGAAAAAATATAAATTGTGGGAATTATTCTGTGCTCCTTACATTTGTACCCTGCCTAGCTACTGTTTCAAATAAATTGTGTTGCTCTGAGTGAGGGTAAAGGGTGTCAAAGCAAATACCTTTGTTAACCAAAGACTTGCAGCAATCAACCGAATAATCATGATAGTGAGTGAAGACACCTAATTGCAAATCTTATCTATCTGAAAGGTTCATTTTTGAACATGATGGAACTAGAGCAGAGCACATAACACAATCAAACACTTCCGTGCAGAGAGAGCTAGTTTTGTTTAGCGTGGAGCTTGTAATCGTGCTACGCACGCAACCGGCACATTTGTCAGGTTTCCCACTTTGCACTGGCATGCTAGGAGCAACGGCTGACGTGGGGCAGCATCTGGGTTAACTTTGGGGGGGCTAGGAAATTTGGCCACACATATACCATAAAGTTCCGAGAGAACGCCCGCCCCCGAGAGATCGCCCATCCCATTTTCTGGCTAAATATCTGCAACATAAAAATTCCGAAACATCGCCCACCTCCCGATTCCCGTCGGACGTCACACAATGTCCAAGAGGAATCGAGTCAACTGCGCAATTTGCTGTACCAACACGTCTGACAAGCGAGTTTATAGCGGGTTCCCGCGTGTTTATCCGCGATCTGCGCAAGCGATATCAGCTCCTGTAACACACGAGTTGTTCCCACGTGTATGCTGCACTGTGAAATGCGAATTTGCTGCGTCCGCAATCTGCGCGGTATCCGTTCCCGTGACAAAAAGTTTTTAGCGGATTCCCGTTGTTTTTGTCCGCGAACTGCGTGCGCGATTTCGATGCCACGCGAGTTGGTCCCGCGTGTATATTGCATCATAAAATATGATTCTGCTGCGTTCGCGATCTCGGTATTTGTTCCCGTAACATAGAAGTTTGTAGCGGATTCCTGCCTTTCTGTCCGCGATCTGCGCGTGCGATATTGGTTCCCGTGACAGACAAGTTTGTATTGGGTTCCCGCGTGTTTATTGCACCATAAAACTTGCATCTGCTGCATCTGCGATTTGCGGTATTCGTTCCCGTGAGATGCAAGCTCTCGGCGAATTTCCGCGGGTCCTTAGCACCGTGAAACGCGAATCTGCTGCGTCCGCAACCTGCGGTATCCTTTTCCGTGACACAGGAGTTTGTAGCGAATTTGCGCGTGTTTATCGCATCATGACACGCAAATTAGCAGTGTCCGTGATCTGCGGTATCAGTTCCCGCATCACGTGGTTTGTAGCAGGTTTTTGATAAAGTTTTGCTCTGGCATCCCCAAAGATAGCCCACCCCATGTTTTTCACCATTTATCTTTTCATTTTGAATGGACGTTCTTTTGGAACTTTACGGTAGGTTGACATTCATTGGCTACAATTATAGGGATCCACAATTAAAGGTAACAGCTAAAAAAAATTTTAAAATGTGGACCTCCATTTGAATAAATATAGTAGTTCTCCACAGCCATGAAAGTTCATCTGAAGTAAGCTACTGCGTCAGTTGCTTCCGGCCTGATCTATACACGTTTGCAAGGAAAGCTCCCGTGCGCTGCCATTTTGAGCAATGCTGGCACCACGCAACATTTCCGCCATGCTGGAGTGCGCTAAGGGCATGTTTTGGGGTGTGCGAGGACAAGATGGCAACATCTGCTGCATCCCCGACGGCCAGCGTTAGCGACGCACTTGCTGCTTTGGAATACAGGAGGAGGTATCCACACAGAATCATAGCATCAAATATTGTAGGAGGAAACATGTTTAAGGGTTGGAGCTGGCTTTATAACGATCACAGCCTCTGTCCCAGCATGTTGTGGAAGCCAGAGCTGCCGCAGGCACAGCCATCGTTGATGCAATGGCTATGCGGCTTCTGGCACATTCTGATAAATGCTTTGAGACTTTAGATATTCTCCTATTTTCCTAATTTTTCGATTTGTTACTGGCTTAGGTATTTTATTTAATTGTTTGTGCTCTTTCGCAGTCCAAGACAACACCTGTATGTTTTTGAAATAATTTTTAGACTCTTTCTGCACTCAGTGGTGTACGCTTCAGCAAGAGACGCTTGGCAACAATGTACGACAATCAGCATACATCTTAGTAAAACATATAAAATAGCGCAACAGAAAGACAAGGACAAGAAGTATACAGGACATCCTGGCTAAAGAGTAGGTCCACCTCACTTCGACGCGTGGTTCGAGGTTAATCCGGGATCCCACTTGCAAAGGTGTATAGGCCTCCAAAAGTTACCAGTTGTTACATATTCTCACATTATAACCAGAACAAAATAGCATTACTCTAGGCGTGACTAATTCTGTGTCCCCAGAGAACAATGAATTATTGTCCGTATAATACCATGATGTGGATGACATTTTACCGTGCAGTTTTATTCTCCACAGAAACAAGCAAATTACCTTGGAAGAGTCGAAGCTCCCAAATCCCATAATCTTCAGCATCTCTTTCTCCTCTTCCGTTTTGCCTTCGAGGTCTTTTGCTGAAATGTGAATGTCAAACATTCATCGGTACAACAGAAAATAATCCAGGAAAAATCCTTTCCTCTGCTTTCTTTGTCACTGAAGCCATATTTCTGAGCCCTGAAAAATGCTTTTTTCTCACGAGTAGATGCGAAAAGAAAGCATAGAGAAAAGATAAATGCTCATGCCCAAGCGGCCCACAGAGCAACGCAGAACTGCTGAGATAAGGATAGATGCCAGCAGTTTGACATCTTGAAATCACTGCAGATTAGAAATATGCCCCTGTCATTCACTGTTTATAGTAAGGAACCCTGGATCTCATACACCTGTAGCGGCCCCTGGTGAGCCAAGAGAAAAGAAGAAAGGCCCGTGCGACACAAGCAGAACAAGAATTCCAGCACCAGCGAGCCCAGCTCCGAACCCGGCCGCAAGCACCGTCATGTTAGCTTTATGTAAATAATGTAAATAAATTAGTTGAACGTTAATGACCTTATCAGTTCCGACCATTCCATCTGGGTCAAAGCAGAAAGGAACCTGCACCCTTGGACCGGAGCGCCAAGCCTGCATTTCCCCCAAGCGCATTGCCGGGGGGACATGTCGGGAAGCGAGCTGTAGCTGGGCTGTACACCCGGCTAACACACAAGCACAGTTCAAAATCACATCATTTCAGCAATTTCAGGTGCAAACGTGCAGACCTGGATGTGAGAGTTACCATACAATGCTGAACTCGATAAGGAGACTGACATCCAATGGTGCAAATAACGAACATGGAAAACAAATCTGCTTTGGTGAAAGACAAACGCAGTTGTGATACGTTAATGCTGGATCGGCTTTTCTTTTTGCATCTAGGCCTCTAGCAGCAATGACTGGAAAATCTAAAAAAACATGTGTTCACTGACAAGCAACAACCACAACAGATCGAGGCATTTCGTCGACAAAAAAAAAAAGGTCTACAAAGGATCTGGTGCATGCTTGGTCTTAGATTTGAAAAAAGTAAGGGTAATTCTATTATTACAGATGTTTGTAGCAGCGTATATTTTATATAACCAAAATATATTCTTCTTGAGGTCTATGCTTATATGGTAGCTGGGAATGCACGTACTATGCAAGACTTCCAAAAATCAAGCGCTGCCGGTAGGCATACATAGTAGATCGTTTGGCAGCATTTCTTGTGCTAAAATTGTTTCCTTCCTATGATCCTGATTAACAGAAGATAAAAACAAAGCAGCTAAAGTCAATGTGACGGTGTTTCCTGAACCAACGAACTTCTTTCATCTGTGGCTAAGCAAGTTGGGTTTTAATGTTTGCATCTCCGAACTAAGAAAACTTTAGCGTGTGAATGGGCAGGCAGCAAAAAAACCAAAGTATGGCCTTTTCGAGCTCAAGTCTCTACCATCAAGAACATCTTCTATAACGACGCAATAGACACGGCGCTTGAGGACAGTACTGCAAGTGGATGTAACTGCACCTGGCATAACCGAGCAATACGATAGGTGCCGATTTATTGAAATAAAACAGTGTACACTGTACTAAACCTCTAATAGTCAGAAACACTTCACAAAGACAAGCCACTTCACTGTGGCAAAAGTGGGCCACTAGAAGTTTGGTGCAGTTCAATGTGACAAATGGACAGTTCAATGTGACAAATGGACTGTTTGTCGTCTGCAACTACTCGGGTCCTCTCCCTCCTTTACCCCTCTGAATCTAGAGAAATGCCCAGGTGTGTGTGGACGGCGCTGCACTCTAACAAACTGGTGTTGCCCAGAGAGTCAAGAGTGGAATGTTCCAAGAGATGCAAGTTTAAATTTGTGTCCACCATAGAATATGATAGTAGTACCTGTTATTGCTGGCCTTTCCAGAAGGAACTTGGGAACAGCTCCGGTGCCTTGGTCCCCCTTCTCCTTACGTTCCCTGAAGGTTGTGGAAGCGCAGAGGAAACATTCATGCACACGGAGGCTGCAGTCTAAGAACAACATTTCTCCAAAACACTGCAAAGATATTCTTGCAAAGCCCATTAGGTATAAAGTCTTAAAAAGACTCCCAACAAAAGCAGACTGTTTGGCCTTAGGCATAAAGTCTTAAAAACACTACCAACAAAAAAAGACCGTTTGCAAAGAACAGTGACCTAAGAAAACAATGTGTTGCTATGGGTGGAGGCAGCAAAGCGATTGAAGGTACAAACATAAATTCAGTTCACTTGATATGGTCCAACCATTGATAAACGGCCCGCGTGCTCTCAACATGACCCTCAAGCGCATTCAACAGGTGTTAATCAGGACGCCTGACAAAGCTGAACTCACAAATTCGCAAATTTGTTGTACAAAGGATTTTATCGTAAGATGCCGTAAGGGTGCCCTCTCCTGAGAGATCGCCCAACCTGCCTTTCTGGCAAAATATCAGTAACATAAAAATTCTGAAACATCGCCCACCCCCCAATTCCCGTCGGACATCACGCAATGTTCGACGGGAATCACATCAGCCGCGCGATCTGCGGTACTGGTATGCGTGTGACAAGCGAGTCTGCAGCGGGTTCTCGAATCTTCGTCCGCAATCTGCACATGCAAAATCGGTTCCCCTGACACGCGAGTTCATAGTGAGTTCCCGCATTATTTTGTTCGCGATCTGCATGCACCACATCGGTTCTCATGGCACGGAAGTTTGTAGCTGGTTCCTGTGTGTTCATCACCTTGTGAAACACGAACCTGCTGCATTCGCAGTCTGCGGTATCCTTTTCTGTGACACAGAAGTTTGTAGTGAATTCTTGCGTTTATCACGTAACGTGAATTTGCTGTGTCCACGATCTGCGGAATCAGTTCCCACGTGGTTTGCAATGGGTGCCCGTGTGTTTATAATTATATTTTTATAAAGTTTTGCTGTCTCATACCCAAAGACTGCCCACCTCATATTATCACCATTTATCTCTTCATTTTGGGTGGGCGCCCTTACGGGATTTTACGGTATGCTTGGACGAAGGCAGTAGAGCGATTGGAGGTGCGGACGTAAATTTAGTTCATTTGATATGGATCAACTATTGACAAATGGCATGTGTGCTTTCAACATGCCTCTCAAGTGCATTTAAGGGGAGATGCAAGTCGAAAAACAGCAATGTTTTTCAAAAATTGTGAGTTCATGTGTTAGGGTGTTTCGTTATTTTTGATTCTTCATATGTTACGTATAAATTAAGTACTGAATATGATCGCAAAATTAGTTAAATAGGCATTTGAAGAACTCGCGGTGACCCAAAGCATGATAGATGTGAGCCATTTTCGTGGGCATGGTTTTTTAAATTGGGCCATCACCCACCATCAAATTTTTTTGTAAAAGTAAGCCAAATCGTTTTCTCTTTGTCACATTCTTCTGTAACCTCAATTTCTCACAAGAAATTTAATTTTTTTTTTTTTTTTTTTGCTCTTGCGAAAAATTATTGTTACAGATCACTCAACTATATTACTTTTATGTGTTAGCCGCCCACTCCCCTATGTAATGCCTTTGAATCCCCTGAGAGAGTAATAAATGAAAAATAAAATGACATGGCACTATTCTAAAGTGGCTTTCTCTTTCCGCAATTTTGAAGCATCTTTACAGTTTGTGCAAAAAAATGTTTTGTTCTGAATATTGTCCTAGCACAACCAAATTTGCCCTGCACATGCTTTAGGATATGTAGAATGAAACTACCAAGGTGTAATCAGAATGTATATTTTGATTCTTAGGAAACTTTAAAAAAACTTTTCTTAGCCCCTTGGAAATGGGTGTTTTTGCGGTTTCCAATTATTTTAAAATATAAAAAGTCTCACATGAATTATTTTTGTTGTTCACTGCATTCAGTGGTTCAAAAGGAGCAAATTAGTCTATTTTACTAGGCTCTTTTAAGTCTGTTACCATGTGCAAGAACATGATACAATGTCCCAACATTTGTATATTAACCATGGTATAGCAGAGTTTGATATTTTTAACCCATGTTTTGTTGCATTTAAGTTGTCCTTTACCACTAGCTAATCCACCTGCTGTGCATTATTGCCAAGGATTTGGCTCTTCATGAACTGATAAAATAAATAAATAAATGAATGAATGGATAAATTATTTTTTTTTTTTTGCATGTGGATTGCAACCAGAATGTAAAAAAGAAGCTATATGAAACCAAACACCATATTTATAAAAAGGAGATTACGCCAAGTTTACTAGGGCAAGATGTCCTAGTAAATGCGCAGCAGTAGAAATACACGGGCACTATTGTATCTTGTGGAGGCCAGCCTCGGGTCTCCACCACCTCTATAAAATCTGACAAATAAAAATAGTTAATCGCGTGGAAATCCCAAACGTTACTATTATTGCTCTTTTTAGCTGCAGTGTGCATATTTTGACAAAAATGTCAAATCAATGGACGAAGGAGACGTAATACAGCAACTATTGTTTAAAAATGCTGTCCGACCACGCCCTCTGGTATCTGCTCCAAAACGCAAAAAGAGGGGCTTGCACAATCTTTGATTCGATTTTTAATAGGGAAATTGGCCACCCACGAGTGTAATTTCCGATTTTTGAGGACACTTAGAACCCATAGATTGAGTTATCACCATTAATAGACGATCTCAGAATCCACTTGAGTGCCCCTTTAACGATAATCAGAATGCCTAAGATAGCAGAACTCTCAAATTTCAAAATTTGTTGTACAAAGGGTTCTACATTGTTGCCTTCATTTTAGCCACAAAAATTAGCAGAATAATTCCACTTGAAACAGCAAGGTGGCTAAAGGGGAGTGTTGACATTTCTATTTTATCCACCCTTCTCACATTTCATATCACTCTGAACAATGGTCAAAAGTTCTACTGAGAAAAAAATTTCATTCCTTTTTTTTGTTTTCTGTACACCCTAATTACTAAAACTCCATCCCCTCCACTAACAATAGATCCTTTCCAGAATTCAGTGCCATCTGGTGACTCAAATGGCAGTTTAACTTTTACCGTACCAATGGTGGCAATGAACCTGTGGTCTGCAGTATTTTATGGGGCACCGTCACTTTCGCAAGTCGACGGTAAACAAGAATATGCACTTCACTGTACAGCTCATTTTCAATCTCTTTCAGTGTCTATGGCAACAAAAAATGCAACCAATCAGAACGGAGCACCAACCCACATGGATGCCTTGATGAAGTTCTATACATCAAGGGGCTTTGAAACCGAGTGTGTGCTACTAACATATTGACTGGGCCCAAGTTAGAAATGAACACTTACGCAGATCTCGCATCCAATTCCTGCTTTACGTCGCGCTAACGTTGAGAATGTATAGGCCTCGAATCATCTACTTAGGAGCATCTTCAACTTCTTCCTTCATCAGTAAACAGAAGGCAGCCATTAGTATAACAGATATGCCATTTTTTTAGATGATGGTAGTGACTAAAGTGGCCAGACTGTATTCCGGAAAGGGTCTATTGAGCGGAGAGCGGCTCTTTTTTAAAGATGCAACTAACAACTTCTCAGTAAAATGAACAGTGGATCCACTATGCATCTAATGCCCATTGTGAGGTAGAGAAATAGCAACCCGTCACAACAGAGCTTTAATGAGGACTGGCTGACACGAAAGGGCCTGCCCCTCAGATGAGTGGAAGGCAACACAATGATGATTATGAAGAATGAGAATCAAGATCTCAACACATCATACTTAAAAAAGGACTTGGCATTTTGCCACCCTAGGCAGCTTTTAACAGTCCACCCCCCCCCCCCCCCCCTTCCCGCTCCCAATGGTCAGTGACTATGGGCAGCAGGGGTTGGGAGGACAAGTAGCTACCGTAGAATACCGTGCATCCACTCATTCCACACTAAGCGCCCATTCCCAAAGTTGTAAGATCTGAGAAAATACGCGCAGTACATTGATATGTAAAATTGATGACCGGACAAGCGTCCATTCCCCATTTTTTCATGATTATCTTTAGATTTTCAGTGGGCGCTTGCCTGGTATTTTACTGCAAGTTTGGAGCTAACACTTTTTTTTAAAGTAGCTAGATTTCAAACTAGAGTTCCCAAAGTAGCTAAAATGAAAGCTAAAAAAAGAAAAGAGAGCCAATTAAAGGGGCGGTGCAACGATATTCAATTGGAATGTTTTTCACTTTACACAAGCTTACTGGCACTAGTGGGACTCAAGGTTACTTGCACGCAACGGCACTGGCCAAGAAATGCCTTTGTTGCGGTGTAATTGCAGAGACAAAAGCAATCATTTTCATTCAATCTCTCCTTTGCGAAATTTCATGACGTAACGTGGGGATCGCAGTACACCCATATGACGATATTTGAATGCTGTTCATAGATTGGACCCGAGCATTGCGTGGGCACTCGATTTGGGCTCATGATGATTACTAGCTCAAGAAGCATTCGGGTAGTGGCCCGTGTCCAATCGCTGCAACGACGACAATAGCCGAGCCATAACAATGTCTGGAACTCAGCGCGTGTCCTGTGCTTTGCCGACCCCAGCGTGTGGCTATGATCAACATTGGCGGCATATAATCGGCTCCAGATTACGTGGCCGCTTGTTCTGGCTGCGAGTTGAGGGGGTGAACGCTGCTCGTTTTTCTTTAATTTTTTCTGGAACTTCTGTTGCGTGGGGTGAAAAAGGAATGCGTGTTTCATAAGTCATTAACGTCAGGGATCCGTTCTAAGCGGTATTCACGCAAAGTGCAAAAATTGTTGCATCGCCCCTTTAACTTTAAGGCGGCCACAAATTGGCAATCTTCCAAAATTCTACTGCTCTAGGTAGCTACCTACTGCCTATTGGTAAGTCTGCCCCTGATCACACTATACCGAACGTTTCACCGAACGTTGGTCAAAAGTTCTGTGCAAAAACTATGCACGATACTGTAACTGGTCACTATCAATGGGCCTATTGACTGAGGTACTATCACAATTCATATGACCCGAGACACCTGAACAAACCTTTTTCTCACAGCTCTTTCAAAACCAGGTAGGTGCAACAAAGAAGCATGAAGGACTGTTTCAGCTCATACTGAACGCAACAGAACATAGCACATAGAATTCACCATTTAATTAGTGAAAATAAACATATAGTTCCAATCAGAAATTTAATGGGCAATAATGAAAACAACTAAATCGATCAATTTAAGACAGATTTGGAGTGCATGTCTTGTTTTTCTGAGTACTGAAAATGACTCGAAAGTGGTTTCTCTGTCTCTTATCACCTGCCTTTTCACTCTGCCAACCTTGCACCTAAAGCACCACTGCACTTCCTACGTGCTCCAAGTCATTCTAAAATTTACTGATCTACTGGTTTTTGATTAAGATTAGCAAGTTTCTAATTGGAACCATATGTCTCTTTTTACTAAACCCCCAAAAATTGATTATACAAAGCTAATTATTGACTTAATTATCTGAAACACCATGTACCTCTCTAGAGTGGCCCATAGACAGTGACTACTAATATTGTTTTCCACTAAGATGTGTAGTTTTTACAAAAAAAAAAAAAAAGTCTGGCCGGTGTTCAGTGAAATAACGGATGTTATTTTCCACTATTACTCTAGTCTCGTGCAAACAAAAATAGGTAAATAAAATCACAAAATATTGCCCAAGAAGTCTAGAGAGACTTCAAGTACTGCAGGTGGAAGCTGGCACGAATATCTCAGGCTGGTTTGTACCCTCTTGCGTCATAAGGGACCGAAATGAGTTTATGCACGGGTGAGATGGTATACCCTGTTGCAGGTTAAGAAAAGCAGCAAGAGCTCTTCCTGCATAGCCCTCCACCCTTGCAGAATAACAGAGCGAGAGTTGGGGAGAAGACGAGAGAGGAGGCAAGTCCACTCGCTCCCTCTCCAGCGTTCACTCTGCCTAAGTGAAAAAGGTGGAGGGCTATGCAGGAGGACTCCGTCCTGCGTTTCTTCACCTGCAACGGGGTATAGTATGTGATAGTTGCATTGTCCCCTCTCTGGGTTGTTCAGTAATCACTTTCATAGGAGAGTCAATAATTTGCCAAAGTTCATTGGGAAGTTTTGATTGTACCATACTGTCATTCTTTCCGACCAGCACTGTGGCACCGCGAGTAATACACTGCAGCAGAAATGGCTGCGGGAAAATCATAGCTACCTCCGTCTGACACAACATCTGCCAAATGCTATGCTCTGTACTGATAAGGCAAGGTTGCTCCTTTCTCGTGTTTTGTTATCTTAACCAAACTTCCTGGTATGCAAATCCTGGGTTTTGCAACAGTGGTAAACATCCCAGTCAGCCATCAGATTCTCCATAACTGACATAACAAGTTGACAATTTTTTTATTTTTTAGACCGTTTGTTGGCACAGGACACACTACCCAAACTCTGGCATTGAGAAGTACATCACAGCACACTTGCCACTCCTCCGTCTCGCCCTAAAATCTAGAAGTCACTCAGGCAAGCGAAAGACTGCCGAGCTGTGTTCCAAAACAAGAAGCAAACAGGGAAGATATCAGCTCAGACTAACCTTGGCGAAGCATAGGGGTAGAATGGGGCAGTAAATTGCAGGATCCCCATGTGACATCACTCCAACGCTGCCGGGTGCATGAAACCAAAACTAGCTCGTTGCACCTCACTTTTATGCAACACCTCATACTACTGTAGGGCCCCTGCTGGAGCCTGCTATAAACTTGCATTTTGGTCTTTAGTAAGCGACAAGGACAAATTAGAAACTAAAGAAATCCTTCATCTGTACCTAAGGTTGACAGGCTCATGCTACTGAACTGTATGTTTAATATTCCTGTAAATGTTCATGCCAGATATTAAAAAATAAAAGAAACCTCCATTGCTTCATCAGGGAATGCATACTACACGTTGTCTCACCACAAGTTAAAGCGCAGTCGACGCTACGAGTCAAGGGTACCAATCAAGCAGTGCTGAAAGAGCAATGCCACAGTGCCTTTCTGCATGCACATCATAACCAAATAATCCTATCAAGTGCAGAGAGCGAGTCATGACCTTGCAACTTTAGTCAGTGCACTTATATCTGTGCCTCCCAGCCTTTGACTGAACTCTATGACTTGTGGCGAAACAGGGTATTAGCCGCAAGAAGTACAAAGAAATAGTAAATGGAGGAGATGTAACTGGCAGCAAACACACCAATTTTAATGTACAAGCACAGCATTAGGGTCAAAGGGCTTATATGAATAAAAAATAAGTACAGTGAGCAAGTTTCTACAAATTATGTAAAGATAGATCAATGTATTAGTTCGTTGGGTGGGTTGACAGTATTATTATAAGTCTAGGACAGGGGTCTGCAACTGGGCAGCCTGCGGGCCGGATCCGGCCTTCGAGGAAATATTATGCAGTCACCGGCATGCCACCAGAAATGACCCCTCCCCCAAACACCCACACCAAGACAAGAGGTATAACCGAGCATATTAACTCTGAACAAGTTCAAGAGATTCGCCAGGTAGACTTCGCTGATCAGTTGATTCTCAAACAAACAATAAGCTAAAAAGTGTATTTTTTGTAGCGAACAAATTTTTTAAGTTTTCCGCTGGCCTCCCTGAGTTAAAGTTTTCTAATCCATGATATCTCGCAGAAAACCTGATTGAAGTGTTTGCTGCAGCATGTACACATATGCAAACATACTTTTTGAGGATGAAAACCATAAAATCAAACGTGGGTCTTGCAAACGACAGATGAGAACCTCCAAAATATTTTACGGCTCTCAGTTAAAAGTTTTAATGTGAATGTTCACACCCTCGCAAGCAACATCGAAAACCCCAAATCTTACTGAGAGGAGGCTCGAGCAATATCTTACGTTTCATAAGCCTGAATCAAGAGAACATCTTTACATATCATTTCGAGTGTATAATAGTTTTATCTTTAATTTTTTTTTAGGCTAATTCTCCTCCACCCCCCTCCCCTCCCCTACCTTCCCTTCCTCCCCCCCCCCCCCCTCCAACTTGGTTTCTCCGTATGGCACGTTCCGTCTCTGTTTTGGGGCAATGTGGCCCGCTGCAGTGAAAAGTTGCTGACCCCTGGTCTAGGACATCATAAAATATACACAAGAAATTTCCATAGAATCACTTTGCAAACACTTGTATCAGATAAATATTTGAAATAACAGATCACTTCATATGTGTAATGATTTATGGCATCAGGATATTAATGAACTAACTATCAGAGGTAACTGCAAATATTGGCAAGCAAGTTTGTGTGCATGAACAAATGAGACCAATACTTTTGAGTGTGAGAATATCCTGCTTGAACTAATATAATGTGTCTGAATTTGATGGTTTCTTGAACTAATATCATGAGTCTAAATTTGATGCTAAGACACTATCAAGTTAACCTTGGCCTACAGAAGCATGCACCTATTGGAAGCACACTGCTCTCTTCATGAATGAGGCAGAAAAGCCGGCAGTTGATACTACTTCAGTCCCATGTTCCAGGGAAAACAAAAGGCTACCGGATGGCCAAAACATGCTTTTCATGCAAGGCTCGTCAAAATATTAAGCACTGTAAAAAATCGTCCATCTGCGTTAAGTCCTCATTTGAAAGTCATTGTCCATGCTTCGCCCACTAAAATGCACGGCAAAAGGGCTGAAACACATACCTGAACTCAGCACACTACCACTCCTACTGCATGGCACAGTTCATCTGCTATGGTCACCAAATGTCAATTAGATACACACACGAACGCAGTGTGTGAAGCCAGCGACAGTTACGCCATTTTTCAAACGCTGTCTGCTACCAACGCTACGCTGGGCTCGAAGCTAGGCTTCCAAACAGACCACGCTCACGCAGTCACCCCTCGCTTTGCTCCGCTCTAATCGGGGAAAATTGACTATAATTTCAGGCCCAAGCGTACACCAAGCCTCACAGAAAACTCTAAGGGTTTTTTAGGTGACCACTTCCCGCTCTCAGCGTAGACTTTCTCAATGGCACATTTAGCTTTGGCTAGCATTGCCACATTCATTTTAGCAGATGGCATTAGAAAGGTGAAATCTGCCGTAGCTGGCTTCAAACACCGCGTTCACGAATTCGTTCACGAATTCGTCCACGAAGAAGACGTTTCGCTGCTATGGTGATGCTGACCATAGCAGTCGGACTTTATTCTGTGGAAGGAGATGGCAGGGCGGAGAGATCAAGTGCATACTTGGGCTCTTTCAGCGTGCTTTTCAATGGGCGGAGTGTGAACAAAAAAAAGTTTGAAATAAGGACTTAAAGCAGATGGCTGATTTTCTCCAGAGACTAATATCTTGATCAGACTTACATGAAAAGTATGTGTTTAGCTTGCAATTTGAACAAGTTTTTTGTACTGCAACGTGGGGCTAAACTGCCGATGTGTCAAAAAGTCAACTCCCAGCCATAGAGGGAAACAAAATGCAAGCACAACCATAGGTCTACCATTGCTCTGAAAGAGGTGACGGCCACACATCTGAAAACAACCGTAAAAGCTGGAAGCTCAAAGGCACGTAAAGGAAAGTAGCATAACATGTAACCAATATCCTGAGGTTTCTAATGAGAAGATAGAACATTCAGTCACCTGCTCCTAGACCTTCGCCTGGGTGAACGAGAACGTCTTCTGGGAGACCTGCATGAAAAAATGAAGCTATAACAAAACGCCTACAGAAAACAGCTGTGCAACAAACAGCAAAAGCATGTGCACGCACCGGCTTCGTCTGCGGCGTGGTGACCTGTTTCGGGGTCTAGGAGACGAGGAACAGGATCGGGACCTACGACGCTCTGAAATTATTGTGCTGATTATTAAATGAAGGTAAATCAGGAAGTAGAGCTGACCCACCATCTCCCTCAGAAAAACCACCCATTCTATTCTGTTGTTGTAAACTCTTTGCACATAGACACCATCTACTGAAAACAGCTGTGTATCATGTGTGCGCGTATCTGTCCAGCATCCCGGGTAACCAAAGGTGAAATCTCACAACGCACACTGGAAGCTTGTTACTCGTCCCGTTCTAGCCTGAGGCTTGCTTAATGAGTAAGCTTCATAACATTGCAATACAGTACACATCTTTGCTAATCCAGCGCTGCAGCCCACACACCGCATAAAGATATTTTAGCATACACAGTACGTACATTGCAAGCAGCCATAGTAGAGTTTGAGACATTGAGGTACTCTCGCTTATATGCTTAATATGGCCGACCGAACTCTCAATAGTTTAAATGTGTGTATGACCGTGTCATTTGGACTGAAAGTGACTTGATCTTTGGGGTACACTTTAGTGTCAGGAAAGAGAACAGAAATGTTCTGACTTGCCTCTTGCAGGTCTGCGCTCTCTCTCTCGTTCTCGGTCCGCATCCCTGTCGCGAATGGGATCTCGGGCAATGTCCCGGGTGGCATCGCGGATACTGTCCCACTCCCGCTCGCGGGACTTTGATCTGCTCCTGTGGCGCTCTGAAAAACCAGAAAAATGTTTGTAAAAATACAGAGGCACTGAAAAGAAAACAAAATGTTTTTTTTTTTAACAGTCCAGTTGGGACACGCATGTCAAGAAATAAATTTTATGCAAAAACTTTTTAAAGCAATATTGACGGTGTGAGATTTCTTTTAGATTCTGCGCGCAAAGTTCATGGCGTCATGGAATGGTCATAAACATACTATCTCCACCTCGACCGATCCACCTCTCCTAAATGCCGAGAAAGAAAACAACTCGAAAGGAGGTGACTATTGACTAAATCGCATCTCGTGCCCTCAATATTGCTCAAAAAAATTTTCGCGGAAAATCTATTTCTTGACACGCAAGTCCCACCCAAAACTTTGTGGAAAAGTTATATAAACGCAAACACCTTTGTGGCAGCACCTTTGTGGACAAGTTGTATAAACGGCTCTCCTTCTCCTCAGAGTTCCCACATATGAAGAGAGTTTGGCCATTCATTGGGAAGTATAGGAGGTAAATCAGGAGGGCGCCATTAGCCAAAAGCTGGCTGGGTGTGTTCCAGGGCATCTTCACAAATTCGAATGTGCCCAACCAGAAGCCGGAAATAATACCCTCGCAGTAGTCACGAAAATGAAATTATTAAGTGCGCCGGAGTAACTCTCAGTGACTGAAAATATGGTGTGGTGCACGTGATGTTTCAATCATGGGCCATCCATAATTATGGTGGAAAAGCACGACTAGTGGAACGATCGACATAATCCGTACGCCAGGTGCCGAGAATCTGCTGTCCGAGTGGCCACACTCTGTTCGAGCAAAAGAGTGCGAGCGGCACATTCGTTTCTTACATCTTTTTGCATGATCACAATCGAAACATCAAGTGCACCATATTTTCAGCCATGAAGGGTTACTACATTTAACTCTTACGTGCTTATTAAAACCACGTATATATGATTAAAACTGTTTCTCGCTAGCACCGCCAGGGAATTCTTTTCAGCTTCTGGTTGGCCAAGAGAGCACGCCAAGCCCACTACCTTCGTCTGGTGCACGCCCTGGCTCTGCCCGCTCCTCCCATTGACCAAACTCTCTCTATACACGGCCCTGCTTCTCCCGGTATAAGCCCCCTACGGGAGCCAGAGTTGTGTGTATGTTTTCCACGTGACGCCGCGCCACTATTCGTCAAGATCACGTGAGGAGCAGGATCAAGTGCCCTGCAGGAAAGTAGACATTGCACGCGCCCCGGCGTACATTCCCCTGCTTTTGAGTGCACCGCGCGCCTTGAACGCGCGGCGCCACTATTCGCCGAATTCAGTCACGTGAAGAGCAGGATCAATATGCCGTGCAGGAAAGTTGGTGCTACGGGGATGAACGCGCAACTCTCGCTCTCGTAGGGAGCCTATACAGGAACTCTACTTCTCCTCGTCCGACAGCACCCTCTGGTGTCTGTGCATGCCTTACATTTTTGCAAGGCACGCTGAATGTGTGATGTTCGATGCTGCCCACAAAGTTTATAACTGAAACCATACCTTAAAATTTAATGATTAAAAAGTTAAGTTATTCAGAAGTAATTAAGAGCCTAATTATACCAAATGGTTTTTATTTTCCTAGGTAGGCCCATTGGCAGAAACCAATAAGACATCAACCTTTTTTTTGTGTGTGATGCATACTTTCTGCAAGAGCAATGTGGTCCGCGTTTTGAAAAACACCCTGTACTGCAGGGTCCCAAATCTGGGTGAAGCCTTTAAAGTGACAGCATAAATCGACGTTGTCACGTATCGTGCAACGATTTACCACAGAGGTGCCTGAAGGTGGTGGAGATATCACATCAACATTTCAATGAACAAAATTACCTGAGTAAAAAGGAAAAATATAATAACTGGTTTTCTCCACCTATGATATGCCCGTCTGTTAACCACACACCCTTCGATTGGCGCAACAACTGACAGATGGTGGCAGAGTGGGCCCAGCAGCTGCCCGGCGGTTTACGGCAGCTCAGCAGCCGCTCAGTCGCGACAAAAGCAGAAAACCTTTTCAAATGATAGATGCTGCATGCTTCTGCGATGCTTTAATGATTAGTGAATGCAATCCTTTAAAGTGCAGCTCTTAGGCGCCCGTTTCTGGCTTGAGCGGCATCACCGTAACCACACGATGCATTATGGGAAACGTTCCATAATGCAACGTGCGGCGGGACCGTCGTGACGTAACTCGTCAGCCTCCTGACATCACGAGGGTCACCGGTGATGTCACGAGGGAACGTCACCGTGCCGAAACGTCACCGCGGTGCATTATGAGACGTTTCCCATAATGCACCGCGCGGACATTTCGGCATCACGCGGGAGGGAGGAGGAGGAGGAGGGAGGAGGAAGAGCGAAGAGAAGAGGAGGAGAAGAGGGGGAGGAGGCAAGGAGCACGGGAGGAGTAGATGAGGAGGGAGGAGGAGCATACCCATCCCCTCCGTACCCTCCCCTTATCCTCCTCAAGAGCTGCACTCTAATTCGGCATTACAGGGAATTGTAAATGTCTCATTTTTTCGTTCCCAATAAAGCACATTAAATTAGCACAAAACAAAAAAAACCAATGGTTCGTCGAGTAAGTCCAGATACATGTCTGCTTTAGGCGAGACCGGGCAGCTCCTGAGCTGCTGTAAGCCTCCAGAGCCGCACTGCCGCCATCTGTCGGTTGTTGCACCAGTCAGAAGGTGCACAGTTAGCAGGCAGGTGTCATAACCTTCAGGTAGAAAAAAACATTTAATTAATTTTTTTTACTCTTTACTTATGTAAGTTTGTTCTTTAAAATTTTGATGCGATGCTTCTACCACTTTCAAACACCTCTGTGATAAATCGTAAAGCAATATGTCACCAAGCCTATTTATGCAGTAAGTTTAAAGGCTTTACCCGGATTTGCGACCCCGCAGTATTTTGCTCTAAATTCCATCTCATTAAGACATCGACTCCACCACTTTGTATATTACCGCACTTCTCCAGGCTTTTTCCACCAATCTTCTAAACCTTCTCTTTGTGATTGTAATTATTTTTTCCTCCATGCCCATCCAAGTGATTATTATTCCTGTTCTTCAATGCGTATCCAACTGATTATGATGATTTGCGGCTCTTCCCTTTCGATTGGGCGGGTCCATAGTGTTTGAGACCTAGCTTGTTTTTTGGTTGTTTTTTTTTATCCCCTTCTTGCAAATGTTTGTTTGCATGTATGTATATTTGCAGCGCATTCTCTTTGAAACAGGGTCTATAAGACATGTCAAATCTGTATAAAAGATAAAGAATTAAAAAAAAAAAAACAGGAAGCGGTAGGTATGTGTGTCCACCATTGTCCTGCAATGGTCATTTCATCACTGTGCAGCGAAAACTAGCGCCGTCTGTCGGTCGAAATGACACAGAGGAAAGATCAGGATTAAACGCATGAGGGTGAACTTTGAAGTTGTACTACAATCGATAGACAGTCTAGGATAACACAGTGTTATATCAGCTGAAGAAACATTACCCCTTCTCCGCAATCATGGTTGGCGTAGAATAGACACGGACAGCAACCCTTGAATCGCACTAGGCAACAGGGGCCCAGTGATGTTCCATACCACATTCAAGAACTCCCTTTCTTGAGTAAAATATTCCCTATTTGGGAAACGTTTTCCCTGCAAAATTTTGAAATATCCCCACATATTTCCATGCATTCTGTTACCTTTATTTTCGCATCTGCTGATTCCTGTGACCTAGAGTAGATTTATTTAGTGACTCTACTGTGACCATGCAGGCCACTTTGCACGCATTTTATCACGAAAGCTGCGTGAAATTGCATGCTTAAAGAGAAGAAAATGTTACTGTCCAGACGAAAAACCCAGTATAACTTTCCGCTATGTGGATTACGGAACTGGGATTTCAGGTTTCCAGAAACAATTCCAGGTAGATTTCCAGTTTCAAAAGCGAAAAGTTATACTGGTTCTTTGGTAGGGTGGTCAGTTTATATTTTTATTAACTAAATATTACAACCTTTAGCAGTGTTTGGTAAAATACATCTAAAAAGTACTTGATGTAAAATACAAAGCAAATGATAGGTTACATACTTCAAAGTAGTAAGTATATTGGGAGCAATTTACTTGAGGTAAAGTACTATAAATATTATGTACTTCCAAAGTAAAGTACAAGTACTTTTTTAGCACAATCTTACATGGGAATAATCAAGGGTGCATCAGTTATTTTCCAAAATGGCGGCGAATGTTGGATTCAGATTTAAAAGGCGTTTTTGTTGCCACAAATACAAGGGGAAGGTGAGGGGAATATGCCAAGCGACATCTTCGTCTGGGTATGAGGGAGGAACGAATCTACACATATACGTCCAGCTTCGCTTCTAGCATGAAGTTTAGGAGACTAAGCTGGCCGTTTTCTTTGTCTAATGACTTCTTTAAGTGAACCCAGTCATCCAGGTTGTGGGCATATATGGGTTTGAACTTGGTCGAATTTGTTGATAGTAGGGGCATTCCCATAAGAGATGAGTCATGCCTCCTTTTACGTTGTTCGTGCATTTGCTGCACGTGCTGGAGCGTCTTCCTTCGCTCCATGCAGCCATGCGTGCCGGAGAGCGGGTGGCGCCTGCCATGATGCGGGTGAGGAGGACCATGCCCCTTTTCCAATCCCTCTCGGTAGAAGGTCGGGCGTCTGCGGCAGGCTTTCCCACAATCTTGTCCTGTACCTCTCCTTGATTAGGACCCTCTCCTCGTCAGGATCATATTCTTCGTAATCACATAACGTCTCTGTGGTCGTGTGGTTGTGAGGGTGTGGGTGCTCCCCTCTCGCTCGCGGAAAGAAACGAGCGCCGCGCGAGCGAGTTGATGCACCTTTCCATTGCTGGGGACCCCTGCATGGCCCGGGATCCAACCTATCTTGATGGTGGTGCCAAGTTCACATAGTTCGGCTGCCATTTTCTTAATTTCCTTGACCTTTCCGCTTGCGCTGGAGGCTTTCTTACACTCTCGTACTGCCTCCTTGGAGTCTGTGAATAGTCTCAGTTCCCTCGGGCGTAGGTCTTGCCGTTGATGCACGAAGAGGTTCAAAGCCAGGAGGATGGCTTCAAGCTCTCCTCCCTTGATCGTGGTTTTTGCGGGTAGTTGGCAGCATTCCGTGACCCCTGCAGCGGGGGCGAGAAACGCTGCTGCCCCAGCGGGCGTCGGTGTGTCATCTCTTGCGTGGTCTGTGCACTGCCACGATCTCGCTCGGGTCGGTCCAGTGCTTCACCACCTTCCGGTGTGCCTTGGCGATCCGCTCGTTCCTCTTTTCGTCCCCTTTCTTGTCTCTAAGAGGCCTCCTTTCGGTGATGTCTGCCACGGGGTATCTGTTTCACTCTCGCTGACAAACTATTTAACACCATCAACCTATAAGGCACTTATCTGCATCGGTCGTATAGCCGCCATTCCTTCACTAAAAAATTTACCAAATGACATCGTTTTCTAAAGTACAGGCACATACTCAGAAAATGTACTTCAAGTTAAAGGACCCCTTAAAAATGTTTTTTACGCGATTTTTTTTAGAGCAATATTGGCGGCGCGTGACGCGATTTAGTTAGCAGTCACCTCCTTTCCATTTGTTTCCTCTCTCGGCATTTCGGGTAACGTTGGCAATAGCAGACAGATGTAACAAATGTAGCTCGGGAACAACTTACCTCGCCTTTGTGGTGATCGGGAACGGCTTCTACCCATGACCGCTAATAATTTCCTCCTGGAGCACGACCGTGCTCTGGAGCCCTGTGGCCCTGTCCCTCGCGCGACGGTTGGATTTGATCACGGCAAGCACGGGTTGCACTGCCTCTAACACAAAAGCCTACGTACAAATAAGCTTAAATATTACCTAGATAATTAGTAGTGAATCCTAAATCAAATTAAGGTTGAAAATAAATTAAGAATACAATAAACTTCAATCGCGACGCAAAGACCACGAAACGCCAGCGCAACGCGCACACAACAGCGCACAGCGCCGCGAACTTACAAGTACATGAATGGACAGATGGCTAACGGCTGTACTTATTATGTCAGGCGGTAGCTTGCGCCACCTAGCCTTGAAAAGTCGAGTAGCACAATGTCGCTGTCCACGAAACCGTGTTAGGCTAGATCACGGTGTAAGATACACTCTTTAGGTCAGGACAGAGCCTGGGTCAGGACACGGCGGGGCTGAACGCGCGCCGCGAGGAATCAGATAGTGTTCGTTCGACGGGCATCCGAAAGGCTGCATTATTCCGCGGCCACCGTGCCCGCGGCTGACAGTGTCGCCGGCGGCCAAACGGCGAAACTGCGTGAGACCGAAAAAAATTATCTCGTTGCCATGACACCCCGGTACAACGTGGTCCTTCCGCACGAGCGACAACCTCGCTGGAGCTCTGCGCGTGTGGAGCATGAGGCGGCACGAGCCGTCTTCGCCGTGCCTACGGGTCGACAAGTCATCTGCCGGTGCCGCTTGAAACTATACTGAGAGAGAGAAAGAGAGAGAGTGAAAAGCGAACTTTATCCAAATACATTACTAGGGGGAATACATTCCACTCCTCTCAAATAGAATTAGTGGCGAGATGTTTCGGTGGCGCCCTCATTTGGTTACCTTTCGTGACGTCATTACCTTGTGAAGAACAAGTTCAATGGTGTTTGTAACGATCATGGTGAAAGCCTGAAATCATAGCGCTCTCAAAGTAACACTGCCCACACCGTCAAAATTGAAGTTCTTACATTCCTCTTATTTGCGTCGATTTTATATCCTTTGCTGACGTCATAGTCAGCATTCGGCCAATGGACCTTTTTCCAGTAAGGAGTGCTTCATGACGGTTTCGCCGCCTACTACAAATGGAGGCCAACCGGACTTGCCTTCTCCCATAGGAACCGATTAGTGTCGCAAGAAAACAGTGCCCCCCAAGAATGGCGAAAGGGCGGTCAAGGTCAAGGGAAAAGGGTGTGCGCGTGCGCAGACGCTTACTGGAAAAAGGTCCATTGTGGTGGGCCGACCACAGCGACGCTTTCGATCGCTCACGTCGCTCGGACAGGTTTTCTGTAAAGCCCCTCTATGTGTTTGCGCTTGTCTTGCAAGTAGCGTCAAATGCGCGAGTGCACGACGCCCATGTCTCGAGCGGCCCTTGGAAGCAAATGGCGGCGCAGCACTGAAATGAGCGGGCCTTGGAAGCGAATGGCGGCGGAGCACCCGCTCATGGCACGTGTCTCGAGCGCTTCCACAACAATGGTTGGCGGTACTTGTAAAAAACGCTTTTACCAAGGGGCTTTAGTTTTCTGGCCTGGCGAGAGCCATCTATCGTCGGGGAGGTCTCGGCTATCGATGATATTGATGTTCTACATACCAAATTCATTCTTGTGGAAATGCGCGAGACACGTGCCGCGCGCCACTTCTAAGAATAACACGGCGTCTAAACTCTAGCTTAGTGGTGCGCTAAATACTTTGCCAGTGTTGCCAGATTGGGCTATATATAGCCAAATTGGGCTACATTTTTTTCTAGTTGGCGTCAAAATTTCGTGGTTGGCTATGTGGCTATTTTGGGCTATTTTTAAGAATGCGGCGAACTTTTGTCGAACCTCAGGTTCGACGCCGAACTTTGAGGTTCGGTTAGTTAATTTTCGAACTTTTAATGGGTTTCGAAACAAAAAAGTTTCTCTTTTGGCTAGTCGAAAGGAGGGAGAGGAAGGAGAAAGGTTTCAAACTTCTACAAACTTTAGGGCTTTCGCATTATGCAGTGAAGCAATGCTAGCAGAGTTCAAGCGGTCTCCCTACAGCGCAGTGGAGCAAACCAAACGGATTGCATTATTACCACAGGCCCGGTAGCGCGCCTTCAATCCGAACGCATATGGCTCTGCCCGGACGTCGACTAAACTCTCCAAATGCTGCTCTGGTGCCCATTGTGAGAATCCTTAGGCGCCCAGGTTTGTAAAAATGAGACGTCCGCGGTTTTACCGCTAAACAATTGACTACCTTCCAGTCGTTGCTCACCCCAAGAGAGGACAACACAATCAGAAATAGCGTTGAACATGAATGGGTGACACTAATATTCTTCACAAAGAAAAAGAGACGGGGGGATATTATGATACTGCTTCACAGCGCTGTAAGGACCTGAGATATTAGGGTTCTCGTTTGAAACACCCAGTGTTATGACTGTTCTGCTTCTGTATTTTGTTCTTTTACTGTATGATCATATCTCCCGGGCTTCACAATAAAGCTGCTTTGTGTGTTTTGTACCTCTGAAAACCTACGAAGAAAGGGACAGTTTTGTACGGATATTCATCCTTCCGAAGCTCTTCTTGAACAATTTACAAGTAACATAATGTACACAAAAGGTGGTGCATCTGAGGATTGAAACAGATATTGTAACACGTATTGTATGAGCGTGAGAAATTGTCAATATAAGGCTTAAAATCCATTTTTTAGTCTTGGCTATTTTGGGCTATATTTTTTTTTTTTACGGCTTTGGCTATATTGGGCTATATCTCCCAGTCGTTTGGCGGTTTTTTGGTGGGACCATCTGGCAACACTGTACTTTGCTGCTCTGTGCTTCCATGATCTTCCCAAGGGTTGCACGTTCCACGTGCCTCGTGCATCGACGCACCTTGCGCTACTTTTGAAACATGAAGGGGCTTTAGGTGGAATCGGAGACGACACCGCCGCCGCCGCTGCGAACATCCACGTGCACTTGCGCGTGAACTGACGCGGATTTCCACTCCGTCAGGGCTGGATTCGGCGCTGTAGGCGTTCTGTCTAATGCAAATGAGCAGAGTGGAACGTATTCCCCCTAGTAAAGTATTTGCTTTATCTGCACTGCGCGAGGAGCGCGCTGTCCTCACCTGAAGAGTATTATCTCACACCGTGGCCTAGATCGATCGTCCAGATACCTCCGATACCCCCGATAACGATACAAGATAACAGGGAGTTTTCGTAGATCGTTTTCGCCGTCCCGCAAGGCCCTCCGCAACCCGCTACGATAGCGGGAACTCCACAGTCAAGGCTATCGGCGCGCAGGCGCAGTAGCAACTTCTTCGTTGCGGAACGCTTAGCGGAGGAGGCAACGCGGTCTACGAAAACTCTCTAACGATACGATACCAGTGGCGGATCCAAGGGGGGGGGGGGCGATCGCCCCCCCCCCCCCCCCCCCAAACGCAACCCCCCCCCCCCCCCCCCCCCCCCCCCCGGGTTCTTCGTCAGCTCGAAGAAAAAACGTAAGCAATCGACACGAGGGACAAAAGATTAAAACAGCGGTGGGTGGACGCGCCTGCTGGGCGCTTCCCAAAGTGGGGTTTATCTCCGTCAAGGTCACGGTACGTCTTCCCGACAGGGACGGCGCCAGGAAATTCGAAGTGGAGAGACAGTGGGGAGGCGCACCAAATATCAGGTTCCTCGACTGCAGGCACACTTCCAAACAAGCCAGCACGTCGAGCACGGAGGAAAAACACCTTCAACATATCTAGTGCCCTTTCTCTCTCTCTCTGTCTCCCTCTCTCTCTTTGGAGGTGTTCTGCGAACAATTTGTGCCCTGAAAGCTCCCAAACGCAGACGTATCCTTCCTCTATAGCGGCCGCCTTTTCATCACTTTTCGTTTGATGGTTTCTTCGTGGTTCTGGGCTTGTCTTTTGGCATGTCGTTTTTGGCTTGCTTTGAGATGCTGTCGCCCACGGGCGCACTAAAGGTATCTTATTGGCACGGTGTGCTCATTGCCAAGGGAAGTGCGGAGGGGACGTACCAGGACAGGAGGAGACGTTCCAGGGGGGGGGGGGGGGGGGGGGGGATGCAGCTTGTACAACCAGGTGACCAATTGCTTTTCTTCTCAACTGAGAGAGGAAGCAAATGCTCTGGGTACAATGTAGTCTGGGTCTGAGGTTCTCCTGAAGACGATCCGGACTTCCCCACGACCTTGGCTTAAACAAGCCCGCTTACGTCCTCGCCTCCATCCCTCACTGAGGATCAGCGCCGCAGCGCGGAATACAGAAAGAAGCCGACGAGCGCCAGAAGGGGGAGATGTTTCCTCTAATGGGCTTCATACTGCCTGTGGTTCGACTTCTCGTGGCGGGAAGCTAATAAAAGAAAGTTAAACGGTACGAGCACTCTAAAGGCTGGAGGCTGCTTACACGGGGTCCTCAAGCCGACGCCGTAGGCATTTATTTGTATACAATGCCGTTTCAACTTAGGGTGGCGGGACATATTTTAGGAAAGGCGCCCGCTACGTTTGTCTCCCCTTGGCGCCATCTTTACTTTTCGAGTTTACACGGCTTCTGTGAATTGACGGCAGAGCTTTCGCGCGGCTTTGCAGGAGCGAATATGTGTGTGTCGAACGGAACAGAGGCGGGGCTTGCTGATTTGCAACTGCAGCTTTGAATTCCCTACCTAGGGACTTGTGGAAAACGAGCCCTTTCAAAGATGCGACTATACATAAATTAAATAGACAGTGCCTGTGCCCGTTCGAGTGAACACCGGCTCTCAAACATCCATGCTGCAGTCGTGATCGGCCTTTAGCCCAGTTGAGATTCGCCGACCGGGCAACCGCTCTGCCCCATCATATATCTCTGCACCTGTCCTCTCCACCCTGACGAATGAGCTAACTACCCAGAAACAAGTAAGTATTCCTTTCATACAGGAAATATCCAGACGAAGTGCAATTGAATATATTTTGGAAATATTCATTGCTGGTTTAAGGTCTTTTCTAAGTTTAAAAGTTATAGTTGCCGAACTGCAACATGCTTTCAAAAATATTCAACAATTATTCGCTTTCGTTCTCTTGAGTTGCATCCAGAACACGTGAAAACACGAGTTTGGGTTGGGAATGCCGCATGTGCTGCGCTCTGGACATTCCAAATATACGGCGAACAACCGACGAACTTGCCTGGCAGCGTTCGTTTCGCTCGCTACGTCAACAGTGTTTTGACGCCGCGAGAGTCGTCGAAGCCGCCGGGCAATTTTTGTCGCTTGTTTGCAACGTACTCGCTCCATTGAAGCAACCGGCGACAATTAAAAGTATGTTTTAA